CGGTCGGCCCCATCTGTATTGAATGAAATGTTCCGCATTTTTTGGCGCGCTTCAGGGAGAGTACCTGTTCGGTGTCGATGTTCGGTGTCTTTTCGGCGCGAGGAATGGTGGAATTCTTATCGTCCCTTGCGTCACCCATCAAAACAAAAACACGGATCTTATGATCTTATCAATTTCGTCTATTCAATCTGTTAGTTTCTCTTTCTCTCCATTATTTTACCGAGCAAATATAATTTTTCTTAAGCGGTGTTGACTGTTCTTCACAATAGTTGTGTCACTCTATTATTTTCATTTCAAAACGATGTTCTGTTACAAAGTTCTTCCTTCAAAGATTTTGGTAGGTAGTGGAGAGTTTTCCACACATTCCATCAATGGCATTTTCCGATTATATAATTCATTTTTGCATCTAAGTTTTTCAATTTAATTAATTTTTATTTCTGTCCGTGTACTTCTAGTCTGCCATCAAATTCCCACAATGCAATTAGTCTGAGAGAATTTCTTGATTTTGGCGGTCGATATTTATAGTGTTATCCAACGATTCTGATCCATTGCTCTGCAAATTAAGCATAACCAGCAGGTGATCATCTACTCCTGCCTACCAAAGTAATGATAGAGATAGGTTGCAGTTTAATTCCATAGAGAAGAAAAAGAAGGTGTCTGCATTTCAGGCATCTTGGATTTTTTTGATGACGCAGGTCAGTACGGATGATTTTTATCATCGATTTTTTTGAAAATGCTGCGGTTAATGGAAAAAAGTCGGCTTTAGTTCAGTATGTGGACCGTTCCCGAAAGTAACCTTTATCCCCCTCCCCCTGACGCACATTCGGGAAAAGTGAATATTTCCAAAAAGTCATTCTGTATAAAGTGTTTGAAATCATATTAAGTTAATTCAAGCAACATAAATCGGACGTTATGGATTATTTTTCATACTTCGACTTCCAGGTTTTGCTTGAGAACCTGTACCGACCACTGACCTACGTCACAGGGTAAACAATCCTCAAGATGCAAACATCTCCTTTTTTTCGCTATGGTTGAGTTCAGCACATGAGCCACTGCAGTCACTGGGCCCAAACAGATCTTTACAAGGGAAATAAACACTAAGTGAATACCCAGATGCATTTTATATCAGAAGAAAATTCAAGAATATCAAATTTTGAGGCCTCAAAAAGCCTTTTAGTTCATGGTTTTATCGGTCAGTTACAGTTGAGTCGGTAATGCAGTTTTCTTAAAATCGCGGTTGTGGCATTGACATTGTTAGGAAAATAAATGGTTCAAATGTTTGGATTCCTCTGAGACCATCAATTTCCTTCCTCTAAATTGTTTCAACATGCTGTTGATATTTTGTTTCTGTTCACAGAGGATGGATCTTTTTGTGATTGTATAATACAGCCACTGGTGCAGCTGCTTGAAGAGTAAATCATGGTCCGTGTAATATCTGCACACCATTTTGACAGCCAAACTATTCAGACATGTGAAGATGCATCAGCTGTTACAATAGCTCCACCATCAAAGTAAGTTTTTACACATTCTGTTTGTATACGCTCAAAATCATACTCAAAAATTAAGTTCCCCCTGCCTCAAGGTACCTAGACTATAAAATCAAGATTCAAATCCCCGGAGGACACACAGTCCGTTTCACAAAACTGGTAGTGAGTCTATCTCAGTTGCCTAGAAGGACACATCAAGCAAAGAGGCTGCTCTAGGATTGCTATGCTGCCACTTATAGATTTTAATCGCAGTTTTACCTAGTATTTTGATGTGGAACTGGAGTAGACTAGAGATCCAGAAGTTAGGTGGGTACCCGCATCGCCTTACTTATATTCAAGACCAGTAAAATTGCCAGCCAATAAGTGTCGCAGATCATGGGCTAATCATGCAGTGACACAAGATGGACCAGTCCTGTCTCGTAGAGCATGACAAGAGCATATGGATCTTATACATTCGTAGCAACGGTAAGTTTTCCTGCCGTATGAGACCTTCACTTCAAGCTCAGTTATTTCATCAAAGGGGAATAATATTCAGTTGAAACTTTTAGAACACATATTTCATCAGACTTTTAATTAATTTCATCCACAAAAACTTGTCATTTCTATTCTGACGAATAGAAATTATGTCTTGCGAAACATGTTTCCTTTCATCATTTTTCTTTTAGAGATTGGAAGTATAAATTTTATATGCATTTATTTTTTAACATGGTTCCTAATGATATTCTTGCTCCAAGAGTTTCAACTAAACACTGGATCTCTTTGATAAGAAAATAAAATTGAGGAGGCGGTCTCGAAAATTTATCATTGTTGTGACTCTACATGTTCTGTACGCTCCTATGCTCTGCAGTACGATTTGGTGAGGCTCTCATCGCCTGGTGCCGACAGGAAAGTTCAATTGTACTCTCCTGTAAAAATATGGCTGCAAGTACTTCTAGAGTGATCTCGAAGATAAAAGTTTGGTCTTTGAGTAAAATATGCCCCACTTTTTTTATTCAATAATTAACACCTCTACTTAATTTTATTTTATTTTATTTTTTTCAGATTGTTGGTAGCCCTTCTCCACCATGTCATAGAGGTCAGAGACCTCTCACAATCTGGTGAAGTTTTATTCACCTTCCCCACCATCGATCAAGTGGATACAATTGTACACAGTCGCATCGGTAAGGAAAAGAAAACAAATAATAAGATGAAATTCGAGACATATCGACGGTGAAACTACTAGACCACGTATCTTGATTTGCGACATCACAGACTTCCTGTCATACATTATTTTTAGATGGAAAACTACTCAACGCCAATTCTTGAAAACATCTGTGATTTTTCTTCTCTGTGTTTCAAGAAAAATCGGAAACTTCAAGGAATGATATTGGTTTGTTCTCCTTCGTAAAAATAAAATGGGAGCGGAGATTTTTAAACACCGCAAACAGGATATGCAATCTGGTAGTTTCACCATCGATATTCATTCTTACCTCTAAGCAGATACATGAACCTGAACAAGGCTGATTTTTAAATCGTCACAAAAGATTCGAAAGAACCTTGAACATAAATGGAAGGAATGTAAGGCCAAATTATTAAAAATCAACCTTCTCTGTGTCAATTTTGAGAAAAGTCAGGAGAAAAAAATCAATTTTTCAACATTTTGACACGTTTTCCCATGCCGATCTGGCTGTGCTGCCATGTTGAATTAATGCAGGGCCTTGTTCAAAAGCATTTGGCTTGTCTGTTTATCTTCCTGGCTGGCGAGGAATAGAGAGCTCTCTTTGATCACCAATCTGGCGTGAGAACTTATCCCTTAAAACAAAAAGATGCTCATAAAAATTCGAAAAAATTCACCTCTCAGCCTTGCTTTTCGCAATATTTGCAAGTAGACTGCTCTATTTTTTTAGTTTATCATTTCAGTCATCTTTTAAGCAGCAGGTTTTGAAGAACATCAGATCAAACAAACCAAAAACTTTCTCTGGGTCAAATCCCTTTTTTTGGTAAGCACTGTCCTTTTTATAGTCCTTATCACAGTCAGAAAGGGGAAATCTGACCATTCATTAAAATTAGCATTTTTCTGAATCCATTCCAGCCTCATAGTTCTGTTAATTAATTTTGTACTTAGTCTTGCACCAAAGCTTACATCATTCTGATCATGTTTGTTATTGCTGTGCAAGACCTGTTCTAATGTATGTACTTTGACCTTGCAGGAAACTATGTTGCAACTTTAGAAAGAAAAAAAGCAAGATATGGCTCAGAAGGTGCGTATGTACGTGTCTATGCTAACTGGGACTGTATTGGTGAAAAAGAGAGAGCAGATGGGAATGGTCAACCAATCATGGCACGGATTGCTGGCAAAGTTACACCAACCAGCAGTCAAATCAAACGAGGCTCACTAGAGATGATAGAGCTTCCTATTAAATACTCATCAATAAATCTATTGGCTTGTTGTCAGGTATGTTAATCACATTTCTAAGCTGTTTATGTAAATTTCATTGTTAGCTCCCCTTTTTATCTTTGTTATGTGATCTTTATCAGCCTTATGGTGAAGGACTGACGGTCAAAACCATCCAGCAAAATGTATCCCTTGAACGATCATGATCCCCTTTTTCCTGTTTTAAAAAGCAAAAGAAAAAGGTAAATTGGTTTCCCTATCATTAAAAAGTTGAAAAATAATATTTCAAAGCTCCTAGGATTTCAAGAAAAATAGGATCAAATCCAGCCATGACAGATATTTTTAAGACTTGACCATAGAGTTGCAATGTACTGGAGCGCCAATGAGGTCAATCCATGAATGGGCCGTTCCGAACCCCTTATTCGCCGGAAAGTGGGAACCATCTGGGAACTGCTCGGCATTTTTTAACACGACAGCTTATGGGAGAATCGCAGGCTGCGAGTGGTTTTCAGGATTTATTCATTTCAATCAATCATTATTTCCGCGAATTTTGGCAAATTGTGTTCACTGAAGTCATAACAAATTAAAAAATGTACAACACTCCCAGTTTTTGTGAAATAAATTTTATACTTATATTTTCTGAGCAAAGACTGGAGCTGGGACCCCGCACATACGGCATCGCCAGTCGCTGCACACTAGTATTAGGAGCACTGGACAAAACAGCCTCAAAATGTGACTTCATCAGCGCTCCAGAATATTGCGACTCTATGGACTTGACACATTCATTCAGCAAGTAATGAGCTGTCTAGGCTCAAAGTTTCAAGCTCTTTGAAAATTTATGAGAATCATTATTATAGATTAAATAGGCGCAATTTTAAAAAAAATTGAGACACTTTTCAGTTGAAGGGTGTATAGCAGGTTACATCTTTTTACAGAAAATGCATGCCCTGAGTCCTTACAATTTTCGTGACCCAAAAACGTATGTTTGCACCTGAGTGTATGTAAAACAAGAGCAAGGAATTAAGCGCCAGCCTTATTTTACGAAAAAACACTTTTCTTAGTAACAGGGTGCATAGATTCTCTTTTTATATTTGCCATTTCTGAACAAGTCTCAACAGTCTCAGTTAGAGCGAATTGATGATTCATTCTTTCTTTCTTTATCCATTTGAAAATAAGTTTGTCACAAACTCAAACTGTTCTGTTTTTTTTTTTTTGTTTTTTTGTGTGTTTTTTTGGGGTCTTTTACATTTTGCCAGAAGCCTTTTTCTGGATTTAGTTGTCCTCCCCCCCCCCTTCCTCTCAACAAGTTTACTCGTTAAATATTTGAAATTTTGGCTGGAAGTACTTACCGGCAATACCTTAAACGGGTCTTTATATTTATGAAAAAGAGTTGAAAGCTTTTGAGGTGAGCCTGTCCTGAACTTTCAAGGTGTTTTTCTCAAAACCAAATTTTCTACCACAAGCCAGCAGAAAATGCCTTAATCATTCATCGGTGGTTAACACTAAATATTTTTCTTTTTTTCACAGAGCACTGGAAATCTCATCATTGGTTCAAAAAAATCAATCACTATCTTTCATGTTGTATTTAGAACACATGACATCTCACGTTTGAAATTTCTAGACTTTGAACCCAGTTCTTTTAACCTTGAGTTAAGTTTTGAACCTACTTCAATTAGCCTAGTGGAAGATATCGTTGCTGTACTGAATTCAAATTCAGTCCATGTATTCAAGATAACTGAAGGTATCAATCATATTCACTCTCTCTCTCTCTCTCTCCCTCTCTTTCTATTTCTGAGTATTAAATGTTAACAGACATTAAATTGAGAAAAGGAATGCAAACTTGCATGTGGAATTTAAAAACTTGCGACTTGTAAAAGAATCGCGCTGTGTATCAATAATTGATTTCTCCTCTCAGTAACCATAGCTTCATTTTTTTAAAAACAAAGTGTCAAGTTTTTGCTCAAAATTTCACCATTGAAAGGGCCATAAGCGAATTTTTGTAATAACTGAGCAACTGCAAGAAGTACTTGATGGAAAATTCATCTATTTTTTACAGAAGAAGTGTTTTCTGATTCTAAACTTCAAACTAACATAAGTTTTTTTTTGGTTTCGTTGTCCTGCGTTTTTGGTGGCAAACAATGCATTGAATACTTCGTAGTGTAACAATTTAACAATCGCTCATATCTATCTTTGGGAGGCTGAGGGGTTTTTTTTAGAACATAACATAGACAAAGTGGGTTTTTAGAATGCTCAACAATTTAGTTCTTCTCTTGTAGACAGAAAGTTTTAAACTGTAAAAGTTGCATTTTATCAATCTTCAAGTGGAGCCATGACTTGTTCTTCTTTTTCAGGCAGCGATACCAGTAATTCAGATGTTTCCAAAAACTTGATCTCAAAGAAGAAGTCCATGTCTCTTGGTAGTAGCGAGGAGTCAGTGCCTTCCAAAAGTCATGCCGATGGTAACTGAATTTTGTTTTTTAACGAGATTTTATTTTATGTTTCTGTTCGAGCAAAATAATTTAGTCCGCTTCATAAACATCATTGTTTCATGCAAACAGTACTTTTGCTTGAAAAATGAATTGATCAGAGACTGCATTAAACATACTTAGTAGAAATGGAAATGAATATTCGGCCCTTTGTTGAAGGTGTAAATAGTCTGTGGCCCACAAACTGAATTAATTTCCACATCATAGGCCTTTGAACATGGCAAATATCCAACAGCTATTAAGTTAATCTTCTTATCTTCTACTCTTCCCCCCNNAGATTCGTCAATAAAAATTAAATAATCCGCTAATTTTAAACTGTAACCGTTGAAGCTCATATTGTTGCTTTCTGCTCTCAAAAAGATTTCTATCAGGGCCACTCACGGTACTAACTACATATCACCTTTCTTTCTTTCAGAAAATTCAGATGACCTTTCCAGCTCTGGAGCTCCGTCCACATTAGATTTAAATGTTTTAATAAATTCCGTTCTAAATCCACAAGGCCCTTTCGAATGGGAACACGTTCTGCATAAAAATTCTTTCCCAGTAGTTGTGCAATTTCCTAGTATTCCATCTGCTGTAGGAATGAGTGATAGTTCAAACTTCAAATCTTCCTCCTTCAAGTCAAGTCACTCTGTCTCAAAAATGCCCGTCACAATTCTGAAAAACGTGAGTACATATCATTACTTTTCCTTTTCAGAAAGACAAAAGTATCTGCCAAGAACGAAGGAAAGTCTATTCATTAAAATTAATACATGCATGAATGTGTACAGGAACTATAAACATTGGCTCTAATTTTGTTTAGATATCAGAACCATGTCCTCACCCAGTTGAAAACCAAAATCCATGAAGAGATCCAGCTCAATTTGATGACCCTCTGTGAAATGATTCACGGAACGTAGTAGAGAACCATTTGCATTCAATACTTTGAGTCATAAATTCAACTATTTTTTTTTTAAAAAAGTCCCAAAACCGTGTTTCAGTGGATGAAAACTAAAACTCTGATTGATTCAGGCGACTTCAAAAATAGAGACACTAACCTTTTGGCTCAATCGTTTTCAAAACAACAGCTATAACAGTGTTGGTTTCATTCTACTGAATATGATCCAATTATTATTACCTTATTTTGATTATTATGTCAGAAAAAAATAGTCTCAGTCATCATTCATTTGTTTGAGAGTTTGTAAATAACTTATCTATTCTATCCATGTTCGTTTTTTTAGACTGAAGAAGAAGGGCAGATATCCATAGAAAACTTGCTACGTCTTGAACTTCTTGATATGGAATGTGTACTTGACAAGCTCCAATGTCTCATTTTAAGACCTTTATACAGAACCTCAGGTGGAGAAATAAACGCAGGTAAATGCTATTTTGACTTAAGTGCACACCTCCTCATAAATTACATCTCATCAAATTTGTTTGGAAAACCATAGTTTTGCTTTGAAAAAGTAGGAGGTTATAGTAAACAGAAATGAATGTCAAACATTAAAACTCAAATGTGCATCAACTTGATGAAACTCATCCTCTCATTTAAAGGATTATTATTTTGGGCATGCTGAAATTGATCACGGAAATAAGACACGCTGAATCATTTAAATCAATTTTAGTAAATTACAAATTTTTCTGTCAAAAGCACAAATTGAATGAAGGTAGATCATAACTTTTTTCCTCTTTTTTTTTTTTTTAAATTTAAAGTGACTTAGTTTTTGTATCTATTTGTTCAGTGCATCATGAAGTTCGGTAAGAATATCTACCTTTTTTGAAAATGTCCTCTTGTTTGCAAGCTATTTTGATTCTTAGTTTCTAGGATAGGCTAAATTGCTTTGTCAGTGATGCATAGTGTTCATTTTCTGTGTAATTCTGAACAGTAAAGTATTGTATCTCTCTCCATGTGCTATAAAGAATTCTATTTTGTTGGTCTTTTAAGGTTCTGATGTAAGTTATCCTCAATTAAGGTCAGAGCACTATCCGCAACTTGTAGCCCTCAATTGTCTGGTTTGCACTCATCAAGAAGGCTTCATGTATCATTTTCCTGCTCTAGAAGGAGGTCTGAAGGTCCGTTAAATTTATTTACAGTATATTATCTTTTACAAGACTTGGAGTGAACAATTTAAACCCCAAAATTAAGACTCAATATTGTCTGAATCCGTGCAATCATTAGATCATGTTATTATTTAGATGTCTCGCATTATTCAGATCAATCGTTTAAATATTCTTGAAATAAATTCAAAAGTTAATGAAATTAATTCCCAGAAAGTCTAATTTGATGTGAAAAGGAAGCGTAAGCATAAGAATCAGATGTAAAATTGTAAAAAATATTTTTGCTACCCTTTACTTTCAAACATAGAAGTATCAATGAGAAAGAGAAGATTCAATTGTAGGTTAACTGTAAAAGAGAAGTATCTAGTCTGCTTCAAAGTAAAAAATCCAAAATCCAGTCCTGCCCAAGAATCAAGTCAATGACCAACACGTTCCTCTGACTTAACATCGAATGCAGTTTTCTTTATATTGTGTCACATATTGTGTTGGCACTAACTAAAAAGTGTATTTTAATTGTATTTTTTTTAAAAATAACTGAACCTGTTGTTTTTTTTGCAGTTTGGAGAGGGCAAGTGCATATCTGTGTACCATTTTACATCTCCAGTTATTTCTGTGGTGTTGGAATTGAATCTCTTACATGCTCTTACAGAAACTGGTCTAGAAACGTACACTCTACGAACAGCGCACCATGCCCTTCAAGTTTGCATGGACATAGACTACCCCCCTCCAACAGATCCTATTTCCCTCATCGGATTGCGACCGTTTCTCGGAGTTGTGAACCTTCTACTTTCTGAAACATATCTTGTAATTGTGGCATCATCACATGATACTTATGATTCTCCTCATCTCTCAAGTGCGTGGACTCTGTATTCATTGCAATTACCTTCTACTGCAACACTCTACACGGACATTGTGGCTTTAGCTGTAAATCATCGATTCAGTGGTCCCTCTAATTATTTACAGTTATTGAACGAAGCACACATAATTCTCAAAGCAGCTGTCAACGTTCGAACTTATCATGAGTGTCCTCAGGTAGATATTGAAGTAGAGCTTTTTAAGGAGTCGTGTCTGATGTTAGCTGATCACTTACTGTCCTCAGATAATTTGAAAGACTGGCAATATGCAACAAAGCTATATAATAGTGCTCAGGTGAGCCCTGCCCAAGTCATAGAACGAATAAAAAAGATCGAAGCAGATGCTAAAGATGCCAACATGCCAATTAGTATTGAGAAAGGGTTGACAGAATATCTTAAGTCATCAGTTGGTTCGTGGCCTGATCTCAGTGGTGATTCCCCACAAACTATTGCAGCCATTCTCACTGATTTTTTAGAGAACTCCAAGCAAGTGCATATTCTCCCCCTTTTAGTTTTACAGCATTCATTTTTAAGAGAAGTTTCCGGCGAAAAAATCGTCAATTTAATTAAAGAACTTCGTAATGGCATTGACGACAAAAATGACACATATCATACAATCAGTTTGGCCCTGGTTGTTTTATACTTGCAGAAAGGGCTTGTTGATGAGGCTATGAAGAATTTAAAATTGTGTCTTTCATCAAGAGAAATTTGTACATCTCTTCTTCTTTCTAATCCTTTTTTGTTATTCGAAAGGTCTAAGCTGAACCGTGTCACCAATGAGAAAGAGTTCTCATCGTTTTCAGATTTAACAGTGCTATTAATAGACACAGACCCTGTGTTATTTTGTGAAACTCTGCTACAGCTTGTTGAGCGAAAATTTGTAGATTTGCAGATAGTCATGAAAATGTTTTTAAGTTATTTGGTCACTTGCACAAGTGTAACGCAAGTGAAAGCCAGCCAATGCCTTCAGTATTTTTTGGAGTATTATTTTGCAAAGTTCAAAAGCACCTGTGATCATGATTCAGGTCCAGTCACCAAAGAAGCCCTGAAAATACTGATGCGATCATACTTAAGTGATCTAAAGCTAAATTCCATGGAAAAATTTACTGACTCGCGCCTTAGTAACATTGATAACATTTTCAGTGATAGCCTTCCACCTGTCCTAAAAATGCTTCCGGATTCAAAATCAAAATTTCATGATTGTCCCAGTCTAAAAAAATTGCAGTCGTTAATCGTGAGTGGTTGGCTCGACAAAGATGCTCTTAGCGAGTTATCAGTTTATGTACATGATGTACTACCAGATTGTTTAAGTTTAAAAATTCTTGCAGAACCAGAAAATGCAATAGATCTATTGTTCCAGCTTTGTCCAGAAACATTACCACAATATGCTAAGGACACTTTTGAATCTGAAAATGAGTGGAAGAATTTAGTTCAAAAACTCTTCGATGCTGTAAAAGAAAACAGGAATACCTCGGGAGAAGATAAAGGAGACGAGCCAGTGTATCTAAACTTACTAAAAGATATTTTGGAGCATTTGGCATCAAACCTATCAATGGAGGAGTTTTGTAGGATTCTACCTCCTGATTTTGATTCCACCTTCCATGAATTTATCGTCAGGTGTCAAAATATTTGTCATGCTAATGCTGTAAGAGCTCTCATTATCACAACAAGTCGTAATCTTTTGTTGTCTAAAGGCTCATGATCTTCGGGGCGAGTTATGACAAAAAGGAGACACAAATATTCCAAAGATTCATCTACAAGAGCCTTTGAAACAGAGAATTCTCGTTGGTGATGATATTTTGTAACCAAATTTACTCTTAACCTTAATTGCCTTGATCAAAAGTTGAGAAGAAGCTGCCAGAAGAAGTCAGCGCTGTTGTTAGGATTCTCAGTGAACACTAAGGACATTGTTGATGTCAACTGTCCAAGACCATTTAGAGAGGGAAATTCTGTCTCCAAAGATTTTAAAATATGTATATTGATAGCCAAGTAGAAAAACGTGTACTTATCTCAGCGGCATTACTTGAAAATCTCCGATTTTGTCTTATTTTCTTCAAAAGAAATTAATCAAAATGCTTTCTTTCAACTCAATGTGATATTTTTTTGAATGAGTGAAGAAAATTCACTACAAATTTCAGTCGAAACTTTGGGTTAGTTTCCCTTCTAAAAATAAAACATAAGTGGATACTTACACCATTGTAATCTGAGATACGCGTTTTTTCTTTACTTCAGCCATCGATATGTACCTCGAAGGCCCTCCCCTGCTATACTTTCTTTTTTTTGTGTAAGAATAACAAAATTTAAGTACAGAAATTTTAAAATTGAAAGAAATGTTATCGGATGATCCAAAAATTGAGGGAATAATTTTTTTATCTTTAAAGCTCAGCCTCCTGAAGATTTCGTGGCTTCTCTTAGCCCAAATGTTATGATGCCTTGATTATTTTGCTTTGAATAATGTACCAATCACTGTTTGCATTGTGTCGTGTCACTTTTATTTCTTTTTTTTTTCACAACTTAAATTTTGCTCTCGGCACCTCCTGGACGATTAAACAGAGCCTTAGTTGGGTTCAGAGGTAAAATTGTTCGAATAATTGTGCCATTAGACAAGCAACCTTTTACAGATAAGAATTGAAACACTTGAAACTATATTTAACATAATTAGAGAAAGTAATTCATGCAATTCCTGCAAGTCTCGAACTATAAGGAAATACACTGATTTTATCAAATGAACAATTTGGAATAAATTTGAATTGATTAATGTGTTCATAAAATATTATGTAGCTGTTAAGTCCTAACACTTTCCGACCAAACAAATGTGTGATCGGGTGACTTTCATCAAGCTGCTCAGACCGTGGTTCATTTTGATTGCCTGTATAGTAGTTATTTTGTTCATTTCAGTACGTAAAAAATATTTTTCTGTGACACACCAAAATGAAATAAGAAACACCCTTTATCTCACTCTGTTCTCTAGTTTTTTAGTCATTTGGTACAGATTTTTTCATATATACATGAGAACTGCTTCTATAGTGCTCTCTAGAGCTCTACAACACAGCTAGTCGCCACAGCACCCTATTCTTCTATAGCCAGATTAGTTCATTTCTTTGAAATCCCCCGTGGCTTGAGAGAGTTCTGATCTTTTATCCGTTCTGATTTCGTAACTACAACTCTGAACGATGTTCAGCCAAAATTATATTTTACGTTATTTCCTAAAGGCAGGAAAATTATTTGACAGCACTTTCGTTTGTAAAAAAAAGTTTTCCTTTGTTTACTGTACACTGTCAAAGTCTGTGCTTAGCTGAATACTAATGAAACCTGGGTTATATAAACTCTGTATCATCTGACTCATTTCTATGAGGATTGTGGGTACAAATTTCGAAAACTCAGCAGTCAAGAGTACCTTTTTGTAGTCAAGTTACAGATTTTTTCATTATTTAATTTTTCCCATTTTTCAGATTGCTATCTGATGCTGATTTTTAAAGAATATTTTTACGAATTTCATATCAACAATTTTTTTACTTTATTTTCACAGCTATAAACATTCTCAAATGCAATTTAATCCTCAAATTATCTGAATTTTCTGTTATCTGAATAGGCATATTAGTGTGAATAATTTGTTTTGCAGTCATCATATTGACTAGCTATGTGTATTTGTACCTTTTTTTATGCTAAGTGCCTAATTAATCAGCTTAAATTGAATCGTTCGTTTGTTAGAGGGTTAAAGTGGAAAAATTGTGAGCAAGTCTTGGAACGTCTTAGGGAGCATTCATTAATTACACACCAGGGGTGAAAAAACTTCACAACCACGCAACTGGACGGGTCGCGATCGGTCGCGTGTGAAAATGGAAAGTCCCCAAAAGTGGTGTCCATTAATGGGAATGCCGGCAAAAACGCGTTTTACTTTGACTATCTGTGGTAAAAATCTTGTCTTTGACGTAAAATCTTTGAAAAAATTACGTTTATTTCGGAAATTTGTTGCAATTTATACGTACATAGCCATGAAAAAGTAATTTTTTTAGATTTTTGAGGAAGAGGGAGTTTTTAAAATGGAAAGGCTAAGAACTTTCTACATCTCTGTACGTGCTGTACTTTTTCGGCATTTTTGACCCCTCCCATCATCCTCCCTTGTAACGCTTTGTATTGCCTAGATCCCTCCTTAATAATTACCAAGCGCTTGGCGGACCTGACCCCCTTAAGAGCCCAAAAATTAAGGGAACTTGCTGAATATATAGCTGGATAAAATTTGAATTATTTTTAATGATAGTGTAACAAATAACATCGAAGAGAGGAGGATAATACAAGAATGTGACCAGCAAAAGATTTCTATAGATTTTATATTTTTCTATCAATAGGCAAGATTACATAACGCTGGCACTGACACACCACCCCCTCCCTCTTGTAATGCAGCGTAACTAAGGATCATACCCTCACCCTTTCCTCAAGCATTATGTACTTTATGAATACTCCCTTATAGCTGAAGGACACCAAGATTCGAAAGTTTTCTCACTTGTGCCCTTTAATGTATGGAGGCTTCAGTTCTTGTTGTTGTAAATTTTTGATCTGTTATGTTAGACTTTTTTTACACTGTTCATTTACAGCTTACCTATTTCGTGTTTATACATCTTTTATTAAATGTGCAATAAATAAAATATGATCAAATGTATAACTTTGATTTATTTTGTGGTTTATGTACATATTATTATTTGGGAAAGAATCACCGCTTGCCCCATTTTTTTCATTTATCTTTCTAAATTTTACATGGAATAAGAAAAGACAAAAAGTACTACAATGTATTTGTTTTTCAATTTCTAATTTTAATGGGTTTGTCCTGGCGAACTAAAGGACTTCAGTCGAATATTTCGTTATTCTCTATGGGCCGATTATTGAAATTTTGTGTGTGTCAGGTAGACTTGAATGACATACGTTAAATGGTGTAGTGTGACTGGTGGGTATATCTCATCACTGCTTCGTCGTGCCAATATGAGGTGGAATTAACGACAAGCTGTGTGCATCTCTTGAGTTTCCGAAAGCATATTGTCTATTCTACACATGCATGACAAAGCAGCGATATAACATAGCTGATCAATCACACTACGCCATTCAACGTGTCTCATCTATGCGGTCCACTTGACAAATACAAAATTTCAATGATCGGCCTGATGCTCTTTATTTTTAACTGTCTGGTAAATTAATCTCATTTTAGTATTTACATGTTTCATATTAAAAATACAAACATTAACAAAATCATTAACAAATGTAAAAACAGCTATGTAACAGCATGCCAACAACGCTTATTATTTTTTAAGCGTACAAATGATTTGATTCAGAATTTTACCATCAGATTGACTAGCAAAAAATAAAACAGTATTTATACTTGAAGGTCTTTAGTTAGAGGAGTACATTTTCAAACGGAGTTTTGAAAGAACAAAGTTCATTTTATTATAGTGCTTTAGAATGAAAGATGTTCAATTAGTAAGTTTGCTTCCATTGTAGAATCCACAAAAGGGCAACAATTTTGATGATTATGGTCCCATCATCTTCTTTAGGGTACTCTGAATTAAAAACTGCAAACTGCGGAACAGAGTTACAAAATGTAAGAAAGCCGCAAGTTCCCGTCATGCGTGCTTGATCCAAAGTCGAAGATGTACTTTTTCCCATCATGGCAAATTTGTTAGACACTGAAAAATCACATCAACCAGGATAGCTCCAGAATGAAATTGGAACATCTCTAAAATCTGACTAATAATTACAGTATTCATAAAACCATGATCTAAATTTGTTATTAGCATTTCCAAATAACAATCATTTAGTTCAATTGCATTCGTCACTTACGAAAAATTTGAAAAACATCCAAATTTTATGCGAATACAAGTAAATTAATATAAAATAATCATCAATGAGTAAAAACCTATCAACAAGTGGTTTATTAGTAACAATAAAATTCGATTTACTTTTTTCGTATCAATTGTATCATTTCTTTTTTGTTTTTTTTTTGGGGGGGGTAATATTCTCTTCTTAATGGGTCTTCATGACCTGTCGATACTGTAAGTACATTAATAAAAAAGTAAGTCAATACAAATATGTCAATTTAAAATAGTCTTTGTTGAAAAAAAACGTATCGACAAGTGTGGTTCATTAGTAACGATAAAAGTTGATCAACCATTATTCCTGATTATTCTTAAGTAATAGGTAGCCGCCATTTTTTGGGGGGACCCATGGCTGAAGGTACTACCATGATTTGGAGATACAATTCATTGCGAAAAATTGGGACACAAGCATTGGGACCACACACCCATTCACAAAGTGGGAAAAATTCATTAATTATCTAAAATTCATTACTCTTAGGTACTCTTCAAAATTTTATTACATGACTGACACTTCAGCGATTGATTTCGTCCTCTTAATACCCCTCTGTTGAGTCACTTTGATAAGAAAAATCTGAAATCTAAGAGTGATGAATGACTGATTGTTATAATGATGTTCAAGTTGAAACTAAATAGTTTTATGCTACATGTTTACGCTGCAAAATAAACACGAAATTGGAATGCAAAGAATAGAAGATGTTTTTGTTGAAGGGGGCACTCAAGAATTACACAAAATCATTTTTCAAATTTCATTCCTTTTCTTTTTGCTACGAAAAGTAACATCAGCGAACATTCAAACTCACATTTTTTCCCTCATAATTTAGGAAAACCCTCAATCAGGCTGCGACAACCATTGAAAAATGAATTCAAGAATCGAAAAGAGTTATTTTCTCTTCATACAAAATTCAAAAATTGTTTGAAGTAGAAGGGTTTTAAATGTAGAACAAGTATTCTTAAAAACTGTTTCAAAGAAGAACCTCTTTCTTCTGATGCATGAAATTCATACAATATTTATAGACTAACATAGCCAATTTGCATGAAAAAGTTACTTAATTTTTGGGAGAAACAAGTTAAGAAACAATTCAGCTTGTCTCTCTCTTTTTCTCCCTCTCCCCCTCCCTCTTTCCTCCATTACTGCATGATTTTTCTTTCTTTTCATTAGAAAGATATTTTTTAACTATTGTCACATATTCAGAAGTTTCTATTTTTTTAACAGTTTAAAATTACTAACAGAAATATCTAAATAGAAATAGATCTAGGGCAATTATTGAGATTAAACTTAAAAAGGAAGAAAAAAATTAATGGTTGAATGATGTAATTAATCTAGCATTGGAGAGCTTAATCTTAAAAAAAAAAACAACAAACATGAACAATACCTGCATGGAGAGCAGTCATATCAATTAAACGCAATTTAATAATTCCTGCATGGAGCACAGGCACATGAATAAACGCATGGGATTTTGAGAGGCATTTAATACCTACAAAGCAGAATTTTTGTCTCTTCCATTGCTTCATTTTGCAATTTTTTCCTGCTAGTGCATGAGAGGTTCCATAACTAATTCTTCATGGAACTCCAACTTAGCGTGAAGCCGAAATTCACGATTATTTTTAAGATGCAGACTCATCTTATATTAGTAAATTTGATCATAAATTACAATAAAATGCCTCCATGTGATGAATGTAAACCATGCGCAAAAGTTTTTATTTCATTTGAGAGTACAAAGCTACAAAGGATGTCCCAATACAACTAAGACTAGTACCATGACTTTTGAACTAAGGCAGATAGAAAGCTGATCTTGGTTGCGTTTGAAAGAACAACTCATTTTTTCATCGATTGACATAAGGTTTACTTTATTTTCTCAATTTGCATGATATGATGGTTTGGAAAAAAAATGTTCACTCCCGCCCATCTTTCATGCGGATTTTTCTACCCTGAAAAGCTCTTAAAACACTTTTACTGACACTTGGCGCACTGAAAAAACTTGACAACATTGAACACGACTTGGCAACAATGTTTAGACACTGTTTGATTACAGGTGAAACAGGAACAACAAGATTTGAGTCGCTGCGCAGAGCATGTCATCAGTGCTTTTCACGCAAATTTGATTCTAAGTTCTTGATGCATGGAAAAGGATAAAATACATTAAAAAGAACAAGGTTTCATGATACATAACCCAAAAGAGAATCCAATTCCAGTGAAAAGTACTGATCAGATAAAAACTGCGAGCACTTACTCATTAAGATCTGACAAACAGAACTCTACCAGTAAGTTTAGACTTTTGTTCAGTTGTCTTCAGGTTCGCAATTGCTATGTTAAGACATGTCGCGTGACAATTCAAACTTAGTTGCCACAGTTACACCTTCAATCAAGCAACGCCTGAATAGTGTTGCTAAGTTGTATACTGTGTTTCACAGTTTATTCAGTCCGTCGGGTTTCTGAGAGCACTGTTTAAGGAGCTTTAAGAGAAAGAAAAATTTGTACAAAAAACAGTAAAGGATAAACCTTTTTTTCGAACCTTCATATTTTTACAAAGTTTTTAGCAAATGCAATAAACTTAATGTCAAACAATAGAAAATAAGTCGTTCTTTTAAATGCAATCAAGAGCAGCTCTCCAGCTGCTTTAGTTCCAAAGTTACAGGACCAGTCTCAGTAATTTTTGGAGAGCCATTGTATTTGGCACGATTATTCTTAAATAGGAATAAAAAGTTTCCCATACAAAATTAATCAAGGCTGTAAACTTCAGCAGAGAAGTCAGATTTAGAAAAAAATTCGAGGGAATTCAAACAATGGGAATCTATTTAAAAGTAAAAATATTGTGAAGGTAAAACTAGAATTTAAAAACTCACAACTTTTAATCAAGACTTCTTGAAAATTATCTTAATTTTTCCTCCCTTTAATTAGAATAAGGATATTTTTGTTGAAACTCATTGAAACTACACGATTGATTTTACATCATTAGAGACAGTCTCTTTTTATAAGATTACTAAAAAATCGTGGGTCCTTCATGAGTGTCTACACAAGATATAAGATATAATTATAGATGAAACACAATTTTTAAAGAGTAAATCACCTTCGGCAAATTTTTCAGAAGGTTACAGAGAAAATCAGACAATTTGGCCTACATTTAGAAAGGCACAGAGGACTAAACTAGAAAATTACCTGGTGTGCTCGAAAATAGCCTTGTTGTAAAATTGCAGCTTAACAACTAATTATTGAATTGCAGTCTAGAGTTTTCACTTTGGTTTAAAGAGGAAATTATAAGGGGCATATTTACAATTAAAAGTGATCTACTGCCTCTCAATTTTGGAGGAATTGGTAATTTTTTGGATGACGTTTGAGTTTTATAGTTTTAAACATAAAATCCTTGCACTTAAGCCGTCTTGGACCGTGGTATTACTCATTGGTAACAAAGCATTTTTCATGTATTTAAAAATTGCACTAGCTCTCTGAGACAGAATGTTGCAAATTTTTCTAAGTATTACTTATCTTTATAGAAAAAAATTGGGACTTTATGTTTTTACAAAAGCTACAGCATAGATTTGTGTCTACTAAAATCTGAGACCCAAAATTGATTCATGCCATAGAGGATAATTTTTTAACTTCTAAAAATATTGCGAGGTTTCATAAAGAGTCCTGACAAATGTCTAGTTTATAAGTTTTTGTGCTATAATTACTTAAAAATGCTTACATTTACGTAAAAATGAGTTAAGTCAAAAGAAACTATCTATACACAGGACTTGCAGGCTTCATAGTTCTTGTATTAATTCGTTTCCTTATAGTTCCTTTAAGCATTGAACACTTCCAGCTTGGATGAAAAAGACTGTGAAATATGAGATTTTGAAATGAATTGTATTGCCGTAGGTGCGGGTGATATAGATTCTCTTCTCAAATCTTTTCAATCAATCTTTTTCAAAATTCTAGAGAGACTGTATTTCTGTACAGAGGTTGAGCTATGTTTCCTCTCAGAAGAAGTATGAAAAATTTTATAAAATTGGAATGCACACAAACTACGTTTTCAAGTGTGTAGTAGTTGTACAGAAATAAAAACTACCGTTCATTTAAAAAAAAAAAAAAAAAAAAAAGTTACAAATCCCCCTAAAATCCAGAGAACGAGAATCAACTTCTCAGACTGCATAAACATCTACCAATGATGGAAATCTAATGGTAATGTTCCGATGTCTTTCCAGGCACTTTTCGACAATCCCTAAGGTACATTAAACCAGGCATAGTTGGAAAAATTAGGAAAGCCTGTAATCACAGATAAATGTGAAGAGGCGGACTTGAATAATCCACCCCTTTCAATGTGGGTGAGTGATAACCCACGTCATCATGCTTGCTTCTGATGATGTTGTTGCTGTTGCTGCTGAGCCTGTTGCTGCTGTTGAAAGCCGTATATTAGGAAAACGGTGTACAGAACGAACGCTAATGTTATGGCAATTAATGCATACATGAAAAGATTCAGTTCTGGCTGTCGGAATCGGTTCTTTCGTAACCATTCTAAAACGACTTCTTCAGACTCAAACTCACCTGGAAAAATAAATAAAACTATGAATAAAATGTCCCTCTTTTTTATTTAAAAAAAAAAATAGATTGGCGTTTTTTCACACTGTAGCTTGTAATGTGAGCTTTTCAAGCACCCCTGAAGTGGTTGACATTGGATGTTCCAACGTTCTTCCCAATTGACGATACTTATTGTACAAAATAAAAATAACTACTTTGTTACGGCACCATGAAATGATTACAAAGAGACTGAAAAAACTCACCTCTATAAATGCTAGGGAATCGATTTCGGAAAAAGACTATTGCAGGCAATTTCGTAACTCCCCACTTCCTTGCGTATCTTGGATCTGCCATTTTCACAAAGGTTACATCCATATTATCGGTCTCACCGTCGATCTTCTCAAGCTTTTCTAATACTTTTTCTGCATCTTCTGATTCCATTTCATCTGCAAAGAATTACGTACATAATGAGAAAATAATTCCACCCAAAACACTGAGGGAACTTAGAATTGCCATTCAGGTTTTTTAATTAATTTAATCTTAATTATCATGCTTATTACATAATTTTTTACATAGCTTTCTTAAAGATAAGATGACACATTGACTTGCTTCCTTTCATGCCAGAAAATAGGCCTTCGAAATTGTAAGGTTTTCTCTAAGACGCAAAGTCGAATAGGCGGTATGAGTTAAACAAATTCAATTGAGTAAAAAACTACTCTTCTTTGGAAAGTTTTTATGAACCCTATTGTTTTAGGAGCTACCATGTTCCCTCAAAATTAGTGAAGGGTAATTGTTTTTTGTTTACCTTAAAAATACATCAGAGCCCTCGATCATGTTAATATTTCTTGGGATAACATCTTTATGAGGAGTGAGTTTATTCTTTGAGCAAAACTAGGAATTTGGAAATGCTTCACCAGAAGAAAATCTTTTTCTTGGTCAATTTTTCATTTTGATAATGAAATGGGGAGATAATAGGTGCTAAAAAAACTAAATAACAATACAGTAAAAAGGTGGGATGGGTGGCATCCAAAAGTGAATGGCGAGATGCCACCCCCTGGAAAATCTCTATCTTCACAGATTCCAATGGCGGTCAGGCGCTGCAGAGAGCGCTGTAAAAGCGACTAATGCATACACAAATTAAAGAGATAATTTATACATAAAATACTTACAGAAATAAACAGCGAGGTATTCATTTTCATCCAGGAGTTTATCTAGCATTTTCCTGTTAACTTCTTCAATTTCATTTTTGATTTCGAAGATGTCTTGTGAGGTTAGCCAGGTAAATATTTTTGCCTCGTCCAAGAGGTCTCCTGAAAGAAAAAAAGAAAGTTATAAAAATATGAATACAAAATTTTCAAATTCTTATAAATAAGATTAATTTTCCTTGAATCTTCGGAATGAATATCCCAAGTAGCATTTTACAACAGAAAAATCGCGATATATTGCGATTTTATTGGCGATAAAATCGCTAGGATCATCAACATCTGAGCAATTATCCTTGATCTTGTTGCAATATAATCGCGATTTTATTGCCCGGCAATTTATCGCGATATTATACCGAAACAAAAATCGTGATATATGGCAATTTAATCTCGATTCTATCGACGAAAATTGATCGCGGTTTTATCGAACAAATAATTGCGATGCATAGCGATTTAATCGCCATAAACCGCGATTTTTCATTCTATAATATTGCGATAGATTGCTACCGATAAAATCGCAATAATCAACCGATAAAATCGCTATTTATCTCGATCACTGCTACTTGGAACATAAGAATCATACTCACTAGTTAGGAGAGCCTCCCTCACATTAGATAGGTAAACTCACAAATCACAATTGCTATTAAAACAAAGTTCAAAGTACAAAGTAGTGAGCACGGATAAAGTTAAAGTACATGCAAAAAACCACTCACAGTCACTACTGTGCTCGCAACAAGGTACCTAAAGGACTCTCAAGGTAAGACTAGATATTTTCTAAGTAAGACTTTCTACTTCTAAGAAAAATATTCACAGAAATAAACATGTACACTTCATCCCCTCGATTCAAGCTCTTAGAGGCTTTACTCACATTTGAGGAACTAAATGGTTAATCTGCAGTATAATGGTAAACTGATAACGGGAGTATCTAATGCAACTTTTCTAGGAATAAATCAATCTGTTGGAAACAAGAATATGCAAAAAATAGCTAAATCTGTACTGTTTGACATTATGCGCGTTCAAATGAGCAATAATTAATAAACCAGTTTGAATTTCTACTTTTCTTTTACTCTCTTTTAGTTTTCATTTCTCTCATACTCTCAGGGGATCCTATAATCCTAGGGTATGCTGTGGGGCTGAGTTATTGGGCTAACTCTCCAACAGACCTCCTCAGATTATCTACGCCTCTACAACCATTAGACAAAATGGATTTTGCGACAAAAATTATAAAAATTAAAGGTGGTACTTGGGACAAAGGAATGTATTAGGCATTTCAAGTACATTACTATAGTCTCAGAAATAAAAAATAGCAACATTGACACAACAGTATTTACAGGAGCCAAGAATACAGGATATGGCTCAGTGGGTTTGGGATGCTACATTGCTACTAGGGATGGACGAGTATCGAATTCGAATGAGATTATTCAAATATTCGAAACGTTTCGAATGTGATTATTGCAATTATTTGAGAATTCGAATCTTATGATTGCGAATACTTTGGAAGCAAATATTCGAATATTTTCGATTATTGCTTCGATTTTTGATTTTTTATGTACCGAGAGAAATAAATGACACTTTTAACTAAGACGGTCAGTCATTCCTGTGCAGAGTTGAGGACTAGTTTTAATTAATAACAAGATTGACGATAGGGATGGACGGTTATCAAATTCGCATGCGATTATTCAAATATTCGAATTTGCGATTGCGAATACTTCAGAAGCTAATATTCAAATGTGATGCGATTATCTCGGTGCCGATAATTCGAATATCGAATATTCGATTATCTAAATATTAGACCATCCCTAATTGCTACATATAACAAAGCAGATGATAAGGATGAGGGTTCAGGAGAAGATCATGGATATTATATGCCAACATACCATCATAAATTTGAGGTATCATCTTGCGGAAGTAGACTAGTGAGGGTGTGTTGATAATATTAAACTTAGCTGCAGCCTCTGGGTCGGATATTTTCACCATATCGATACCTTAAAAAAGATAAAGAATCAATCAAAGAGTGATAAATTTGAAAAACTTCATATTACAGTAAAAGTTCGATTTACCAGATTCTTTTCGAGGTCCATGCCATATTCCTGTAAGTACAATGTTAAAATCCCTTCAATTTACCGGATTGTTCGGTTAATCGGATTTTTTTCCGGTCCGGTGACGAAATTTTGGTTCAAATTATCGGATTTTCCCGCAAAGTTGCCCAATTTTTCACAAAATGCCACGAGCCTCGACCTGCGACCGATCGTAACTCGTAGGCGCCGCGGCCCACAATGGATCAAGTCAATGGGAGAGGTCGGACAAAATTTGGAAACTTTAATCGCTTATAACTCGGTTTAAACAAAACTTTGGGGTTCTAATAGTGAGTCCATTAGTTTTCTCGTGAAATTTTCTTCCAGAAACTCCCCTTAGAGTTTCAAATGTGGCGAAAGAAACATCCAAATTGGGAGTTTTAGTCAAAAATTTCATGTCCGACCCCTCTGATTGCTGAATCCACCGTGCGCCGCGACGTGATCTTTTATATTACGCGCCAAAAACGATGATGGCACGTGGTCGCGCCCGGCCGGTGATGTAATCAGCTGATCAGGATCAGTGCATGGATCAGTGCATATCCCGGAAATACGCCGAATGAACGAGGAAAGGAGAGGGAGAGAAGACGAAAAAAATTCGACTTAATTTTGAAGTTTTTCCGCAAATTATATTACAAAAAATATCCAGCCTTGTTTGAGCATTCCTCGCGATGTATACCGAATTGACGCTGTCGCGTATACCGCAACGCGTTTATTCATAGAGGTTCTCTATCTCCCTTTCTCCCATATTTTCGGTCTCTCTCTATGAATTTCCAAAACCTAGCATCGAGCAAGCTTCACTTACTCGTTGCTGTGATCAAGTCGTACGCATCTATCTTTATTATATTTTTTATTACCAGCTTCACGAGATGGATTGAAAGATAAGACTCTCTAAGGACCGAGCTACTCTTTTAACAAAAGGAGCCGGGCCACTTCGTCTTCGTCTTCCACCTAGAAGTCCTGCACTTCGGATTTCTCACCAACTAGCACAGCCATCCATTTAGTGCTCCGATAGTCAGTCTTTTGTAACGATTCCATTTCTTCAAATATACGCGAATTCATACGTCACTCAAAAACCCTTTCGTCTATTTTTCTTGCTCTCCCACAAGTAGCTTTACCGCCACGGTTAGGATTATTTTAGATGTTTCAGTCCGTCTAAAGCTTAACAAATCCTTTACCGCGACAGACGCAAAACTTTTTTTTTAAAAAATCGGACCTCAAATTTCGCGCCGTTGCCGTGGAGACCCCGATTTTTCGATTGCTCAATTTACCGGATTTCCCGGCGGTTACCGCGAATCCGGGAAATCGAACTTTTACAATAAATGCAAAAACCAGACTTATTGATGACATGGATGAAAAATGGACTTCGCAGTTTTGAAAAAAATTTTTTTTGAAGAGAAACTTTCTGTTTCATAGTTGCAGAGAATTACCTAGATACATACCTACTCTGCCATGCTAAGGAAGGACGCCGTATGAACCTTTAGACGTTGCCACATTTCCTTCAATAAAGACCTAAATTACTAGGAAAATTGGGAATGTTTTCCTTCAATTTTTTCAGACAATTTTGTTCGCAATTTTATTTAAAATTTCTGAAAATTTCGAGGAAAAATACATATAATCTTTCTCAAAAATACATGTTTTATCCGGGACAATTTGGCAACTCTCGAATGACGGCGTTCTTCCTTAGCATGGCAGTACTGACACCTGAGTCCGTCTAGAAAGACTGGCAACACTGATATTCCCTCTCTAACTTATCATAATACAATGCTCAATTCTAATCAGCTCCACTTCAAGGCATGTTGTTGTTCTCTATTAATCTCTCTTCATTGTTGTTTTCCGAGGTAAGTAGTTATTTTTCAACTGACTTGTAGATTTAAATCGGAGCAAAGCTTTTGTTTACAAAACCAAAATAGGTAGGTATACCTACAGATGATCCACTGCTCTTTTCTCAAAGGACCCCGCACACCTCTTATGGGAAGCTGCACCATGACCGAATGCTAATTGATTTATGTCATTCAATTCTTCTCAAGATGCTGATCAAAATTTATAATTGTGCCAACTTTCTACGATGCACCGTTTTCGCAAAAAACAGAGAAGATTCAATTATTTGGCGATAAAATTCCAGAAAGATTCCTCATTTCAGTACTCGAGTGAACAAATCAGGGGAACTCCCGCACCGACCTGCAGCCTTATCTCGGATTCCGCACGCCGTTTTGCTCGACCATCCAAATCAGATTCTTGAGGAGCATAAGAACAGGAAAGTCTGAACGTTAACAGAACGAGAGCAGGAAAGAGATAGCCCCTGAGTTCGCAGGTACAGATAAGAAGACGGACACGCGCTACGTTTTTTCTTATTACATCGGGCCTGTTCTCTAATGCTTTGTTCTTTTTTATTCATTGTCGCCGAATAATTGAATCTTCTCTTAGGTTTTTTGCAAAAACGGTGCATCGTAGAAAGTTGGCGCAATTATAACTTTTGATCAGCATCTTGAGGAGAATTGAATGACATAAATCAATTAGCATTCGGTCATGGTGCAGCTTCCCAAAAGAGGTGTGCGGGGTCCTTTTTGCATCATTAGGTCAGAGTGGCAGAGCAGAACTCTGTAAGAAATGGTACAATATCCATGTTAGTTTTTAGAATTTTTCAAAGTATGCTAGCAAGCATTATTTGTGCATCATTCTTTCAGTTGAAATAGGGATTCCTTCTATTAAATCAACATTAAACAATCTGATCATCAATTTACTTAGATTCATTGACTATTCAAGATAAGGCCATTCTCGAGGCCAATATTTTATTTTTATTTTTTGGGGGGGGGGGGGAGTATACAAAGGAATTTACTCAGGTCTTACCGAACAGATCTGCCTCTCCATCGATCATTTCCAGTTCCTCAAGTATTTCGTCACATTCTGCGCAATCTTCATCATCTGAACGGAAAAAAATATTGAGTTACATTTTAAACAGAAATACCTGTGGGATCCAAAGCCCTTACAAGGACAGATTTTATGAAACTTCTGAGAGAAAGTGATAAGAGAAAAAGTTTCTTCAAATCATGAAACCCCTTCATAAGAGTAATCAAACTAAGTACCATGGAAAAAGTCCTAATATTATTCAGTTCTTCAAACACTGCACAATGAGTCAACAATTACTAAGTAATATGCATTGGAATACATTAATTATACATTTTAAGATTGAGCAAAGTGATGGACGACCAGACACAGTACTAATTTAAGCATTTTGATACATGTTTCCCATGCAAAACGTCAGTAGAACAGTGATGCGCAAAATACTTATTACTAAAATTAACTCCTAACCAAGATATTATGTGACTTTTTTGCTGATAACTGGTTACAAAATGATGGAATTTCCCAATCACAGTAAAAACTAAAGTTAACATGAATCAAATTGCGCAGTATAACAGTTTTGGCAAGCTTCTTGATCAAGTTGTGAGCCTTCCCTGCCCTGTGTTGTTCAAAACGTAAACAACATGCAACGGCTCAGCCAAAATAGAGAGATTTGGCTGCATATTCTTATACCACAGAAACTTTTGCAATAGCATTTTGAGTACGATTAAATTCAGGTGGATTATTGGTTTTTTTTTTTTTTTTTTTTTTTTTTTTTTTTTTTTTTTGTGAATGGAAAGGTAAAATTCATGCATCGAAGAACATTAATATCTTTGTTAGGAGTTGCCTCTATTACTTTTTAATTGCACAAATTGTGTTTATGAGGAAAAAAATGTTATTATATTATTGCTAAACATCACACCTTGTCTAGTGTGCTCAGTTTTAAAAATAAAACATACATAATACATTGTACGCTTGCAAGAGGTAAATGAAATATTTGAGAGAGGAATTCTTGAAGCTATCACTGAATTTTATCTGTCAATTTCTTTATAGTCGGTTGAGTAATTTTAAGATATCCCCTTATCTTGATGTTTTGTTCAAAAGAATGTGAAACTTCATCAAGAGCTGATCAAAAACACTGTAATTGAAGGTTTATAAATCATTTTGCCTAAAAGCACTCAGAAGCAGTTCCTTTAATGTACTAAAGAGTAATAAATGAAAAAAGAAAAATAATCCTTACAGAAGAAAACCGCAAGGAAAAGAGACTCTCCTAGTAATCGTTCCAACATCCGCAAATTAACCTCCTCGATCTCATCTGCAAGCTCCCTGTTATCATCGTCAACTAACCACTCTAGAACAGATTCTTCATTCTGAAGATCACCTGAAAATAAATTATTTTCTCATAATCAGTGCTTCAGTTCGTGGCAAAAAATAAAAATGAAGATCTGCAAACCCCCCAGTCATTAAATGAAATCCTTGATATGCAGGCTAACTTTGAAAGCAGCGTTATTTATTCTCTCTCTTTATTATTTTCTGTTTAAGGAGCAATTTTCATTTGTTTTAGAACATTTATTGCTATTAATTTCCATTGATTTTACTTAAATTGTAAAATTTCAAACAATCTGAGATTTTGGCATGGACAATGATACCATTATCAGCAATCAGTGACAGGGGTAGGAACAAATCATAGGTATACCTAAAATGCTGCCAATCAGAGTAACATGGAACAATATACAAACGCAAAACAAAGGCAATGGATTTTGGAATTTTAACCGAGGTGTTGTGGAATGTAGAGTGTTTATTCCGACCTACGTTCCAGAATTACACTATCTTCACGGGGAAAATTATCAATAATGCTATAGGTACAAATTAGAACATAAAACATCCTTCCCCTTTCAGTAATGATTCATAGAGCCAAACCGAACAAAAATCCTAGTTGGATGGACCAGAAATCCTCATCACACCCACTGGAAACCTAATTGTTACACCTGTTTCAATGAGGTACCTACGACATCTTATAAGTCGCCTGGGTTTAGTTTTAATTGCTTTCAGAATTAATTTAGCCATCTTTCATTTAATTTCCATCACCTTCATTATTAGTTTGTACTTTTCAGAGCACCTCAACTACCACCCTGTCCTACTAAAAAAAAGCACATTATGTCAGAGCAAAATGGGCGTGTTGTTTCATTTAAAAATTATATTCTACTCATTTAGAGGAACAAACTCATACACAAGTATAGGCAAAAATTAAGACATTAAGGTAAAAAAACGAGGATCAGCATTCCTTAAAATACCATGTACTTGAGCCAATAATAAAATCGAGGATCAACATTCCTAAAAATACCATGTACTTGAGCCAATAATAAAATCGATTTACTCGGACAGCTTATATTCTTCATAAATGCTGTTCTAGTCCCTGGCAGGGCAGCACAACTGAGCTATCACATGGTTCCATTTCACCTTGTTCAGGTCTTGAGCAAAAGGTAAAAGAAAATGCTAATGATCAACCAACTGGCTAAATTATCACATCACAGCATTACCTACTTATTCTAGAGTCAGAACAATTTGATAGCATCGTCTCTTTCTCCTTATTTACAGGATTACTCACTCGTCACTAGGAGGAGCCGGGCAATTCAGAGACGTTGCGTACAACATTGGTCAAAACCAGGATAAACAGTTGCAAACAATTAATCACACAAACAACATGAATGTTTCGGAGCCCAAGAGGATCTCGCATCATCTGTTGAAAGCGGACCATGTTTTTGATGGAGAAAATATAGAAGAAGGTTGGTGGGTGCTAGTAGCTGATAATCAGATAGCAGCTTTGGGTAAGCCTGGTGATTTTTGTGTGCCACCAGATACAAAAATTGTAGAACTAAAAGGCCAAACCTTAATTCCAGGTATGATAGAGGGGCATTCTCACATGTTCCTCCACCCTTACAATGAAACAAGCTGGAGTGACCAGGTGTTAAGAGAGAGCCGTGCAGAGCGAACAGCTCGTGCAGTAAATCATGCTCGGTCTACTTTGTTGGCTGGCTTTACCACTGTCCGTGACTTGGGGACTGAAGGAGCTATGTATGATGATGTAGGTTTAAAACAAGCGATCGATAAAGGTGTTATACCAGGTCCTCGCATACTGACAGCTACGCTTGCAATCGTGGCAACCGGCAGTTATGGCCCGCAAGGATTTAATGAAGCCACTATGGAGAGCATAATAAAAGGTGCCGAAGAGGCCGATGGTGTTGACGCGCTGGCTAGAGTAGTGCGATCTCAAATTGGGCATGGTGCGGATGTAATTAAAATGTACGGTGACACAGGGTCAGGGGCAGTTACATTTAGCTTGGCTGAATTGCAGTTGGCTGTGGAAATTTCTTCAAGTAGTGGTCGATATGTAGCAGTACACACCTATACAGAGGAGGGAATGCGAAGGACTAGTTTGGCAGGTGTGCGTACCATTGAACATGGCGATGATGGCACTCCTGAAATTTTTGAATTAATGAAGCAGAAGGGCGTTGCTTTATGTCCTACCCTGGCTGCTACAGAAGCCATTGCTAGTTACCGAGGCTGGAAAAAGGGTGTTGATCCAGAGCCGGAAAGAGTAAAGGAGAAGCACAGGTCCTTCAACTTTGCACTGCAAAGTGGAGTGACCATTTGCATGGGAGGTGATGTTGGCGTTTTTCCACATGGTGATAATGCTCGCGAGATTTTACTTCTTGTCGAATATGGTATGGAACCTATCAAGGCAATGCGATCAGCCACCTCCATCAACGCAGAGGTATTTGGTTTAAAAAGACTAGGTCGCATTCGCCCTACCTATCTGGCTGATCTGATTGCTGTGAGTGGGAATCCAGCAGAAGATATCACTTCCCTAAAACATGTGAACTTTGTGATGAAAGATGGTGTGATTTACAAGCAGTAAGCAGCATTGTCTAAAGCTGTGGTTTAAAATGGTGCAAGAATGTAATACTCCAGACACGTATATAAGAAAGTGTGAGGATGGGCACAAAAGTCCATGCTTCCATGCATTACCATCACTGATTAAATTCACTCAATACTCATTTTCATTTATTTCTCTATTCTCATTTAAGCGTTTGTTCAAAGTACCACTTCATTCATTTAAGATGATTCTACGTACCTGATGTAAATATTTGTATGTAAACTTACAAGATAATAAAATCATGATGATACTGGAGGTGGTAAATTTTGTTAATATTTTTTGATGAAATAAAATAATAATAATTACAATGATGATGCTGTATAATGATGTTTTCAATGTGTTCAAACTTTAAAATTAATAGACATTGATTTTTATTTTTCGGTTTTCAAAAAACTTGTAATTTTTAAAACTAAAAAGACACTAAGGCTAAAAAGCTTTTTAAAGGTTTAGGAAAATTTAAGCACACTCTGGTGTAATTTTGTAGGGGATAAACTCAATGTTTTCCCTGGGGAACTATAAGTTCGTTGGTTTTTGCTTCACAGAAAGTTGGCACATCAATTTTTATCATAATTAGTTGTAGTATTTATATTTACCTTCATAGAGAAGTGGATTCCCATTGCGAAAATAGACGAGAGCTGGATAAGTCTTGATGGAGTACCTTTTTGCAAGCTGAGGATCTTGAATTTTGACCATGTGAATACCAAATACATCACATTCATCATCTATCTTTTCCAGGCCTTCCAGAATCTCATCACAGATGTGACAGTTTAGTTTGTCTGCAAAATGTCAATAAGAGAATACCCATGATACAAAAGACTAAAGACAGTAGAGAAGACTTAATTAGTAAAAATTGGTGAAAAAAATATACATATCTTAATTATCAGATTCGTAATATTAACTATGTTTTGTCAAGACTTTAGACACGCTGATTTATGACCTACTATGCGACTAAAAATTTGTATGAATCATTTTCTTTGAAACTTACAATGTTCCCTCCATCAGCCTACTATCCATCCCTTCCCACTCAGAACTTTCAAAGCTTTCCACTTGTGAATGACAAGATTGAATCTTTGGCTTAAAAAGTGATCAAAGTATGTAAGCCATTTGCCTTCAGAAAATTCACAAAAAAGGCTGCTTAGTTTTCAATTGGTGAGAAATATTGCATTCCCTAAGTAATTTTGAAATAAAGAAGAGGAGGAATCTGGCACTGAGAAAATAAGACAGAGTATAATTCTTGCTTACCAATCTGACGAAAATCTCATAATTTATGATTAAGTTGATACTTATCTTGACTTTTTAAAACCATACACTGAAATTTTTTTCCAAAGTTTCGTTATTCCTTCCTACCACATAGCCGTTTATCAATGCCTCCTAGTATGACAGCCGACTACCCACTAGACAAGATATTGATTAAAGCACTACGTAACATCTTCTCACTTTGATTCACTTTGAAATTCTTGGAAACCAAATCATACAATGCGAAAGTCTGGAAATTAGTTCTTAAACGAGATATAAAAATTTACAATTAACACTGGTTGAATGGCAAAAAAATAAATGACATCATTTGTATTACCTAGCTGATGTTTGATCTGTGTTGAAAGCACTTAGTGCTATCTTGTTCAGGAGTTGATTTCCAAACTTCTTGGCATATAAATTTTATTCCACGTAAGATTTTGAAGAGAAAGCCTGTAACAATTTTTTCTACCCTATCTTGTAGTTCATTGAGAATCACAATCCAATTGGTACGACGTGTTTAGATAGATTTTGTAGAGGAAAGCTGTTTTCAAAACAGAGGCACTTACAAAAATAAACCGCCAGGTACTGAGTCTCGTCAACCATTGATTCAAGCATCTCACGCGTTATGAGTTCTATTCTATCTTCTGTCCTCTGAGTGATAAGCCATTGCAGTACTTCTTCTTCCTCTTCAAGATCTCCTGTACATGGAAATTCAAACTTGATAAGCATATGCAAAAATGCTGATTAAATGAAAAATGAGAATATTCAACCACACTTCAAAGCTTTAAAAAAAATTTTCATCAAATTTGATGGGTACCAGAGATCTTTACCGGCTCAACAATCTAATTTACAGTTCAAAATCGATCATTAAATATGGAATCGATTCTTGTATGAGAAAAAAGCAAGTACAAGGCCCGCCAAAAGAGCCGTTGTACCAGTAGCCACTGGTAAAACTAGCCAGCGGTAATGAGAAGTTATAAGGCTTCAAAATACCCAACCCTAGCACTAAGGTTACTTTAATTTTCTTTTCCTTTTGAAAAGCCTTGTGTTTATCTAGAAGCAATTCTGAAATATTTAAAAAATGTAAGTTTAGAACGATTTTCAAAAGTTTGCTTGGAATGATTATTTTTTTATCTGAAGAATGGAAATACAAATTTAAAAAACGAACTACAGAGCCCAATTTTCACTGATGTTGAAATCACAAGGCTCTTGATAATGTAAAGTCGTTTGGGAACTAATTTTATTTAATCTTTTGAAAGATTTGATTTTTACAGTATAGCAAGAAGATTTAATGAATAATGAATTAGTAGGAACAAAAGGGAGTAAATAATGTTCAATCTCACCTTCAAATACATTTGGAATCTGATTTTCAAAATAAACAAGGGATGGAAATGATGAGACACCGAATGTGTTGGCCAGAGGAAAATCCTTGAAAAAAGAGAGAAAAAGGAATTAAAGCAATGGAAAAAAGAAAAATAGAATGTTGATGAATATCTTTAGTCCGATTATTCTACATTCAGCTTTTTCATGATCAAACAAGGTGGTTTTTTTTTGCATAATTTGAGGGTTAAAATGAAAAACAAACAGAAAAATTGGCTGATGGATCAGTTATTTATTTTAAAGAAAAATATTGTTCCTAGGCTGATTGTAAAGCATTATTAATTTTAGTTTAACTAGAATAATATTCAAAGTCAACAAGATTTGTATTACTGTTTCTTTCTTAAAAATGGTGTCTTCATGATCGAGTTTGTCATTATACATGTGTTTATTAATTTTTGATTACTCATAATTTTCAATTGGCTGCAGTGCCTTCAATCTAGTCATTATAATCGCACCATGTGACTTGATTCCGACCCACTCAAGACCTACAAATATTTGGGAGTAATCCTCTGAAGGCGCATTCAGACGGCTTGTCAAGCTGCATGTCAGGCGGCCCGACAAGCAGCTCAGCAAGTCGTCTGAATGCGCCTTCAGGGAGCCCACTCCGAGATTTTGGGTGGGCCAAAAAGCAAGTCTCTTCGACCTAGAAACACTCCCCAAGTTGCAACTCAATGACTCAATTAATAGAAAAGTTATTGGGGTGGTGCAGGACTTCCAGATCAAACTGCATTTTAATTTGAACTGCCACTTGTAAACAACATAAAAAACTTTTCCACAACTTTTGTCAAAGCAGAATGGGTTGACTCACCTGCGTTTTTACAAATGTGATTCCATGCCTGTCACAGTCATCGTCAATATTTTCTAATTCCTCAAGTATAACAGTACACTGATTGCAGTCGTCTTGCTTATCTAAATTAAAAAAATAAGTCAAATTCTTATTAAAAAGCTTAAAATTCAACTCAGTCATTCTGATTTCTGAAAACTTAAAGAACAGGAATAAAACCCTTTCAGACGTTTTCACAAAGTAGATTTTCTGTACGTTGCGAGTGCTTAAGTGTTATTTGCCTTTAAAAAAATAAGCATTCAAAAAGATAATACTTTCAAGCATTGAGTTCGTATTTGAAGTCTGTGGGACACAAGATGGTCAACATAATTGCTTAATGTTCATTTTGTTGATGTTTATTTTCGCCTAACAAAAGTACAGAGCTCTGCTGAGAATGGTTCCAAAGAAATAATCTTGACGTTGTTTTTTTCTTGAGGAGGGAATTTCAAAAGAGCGAGCATTCACGAGGAAAAAACTACTGCCTTCACATGTAGTCCCAGCGACCAAAGTAGCACAAATTCCAATTAATTGCAATTACATGGTAAAATTATTGCTACTGAGCCGGTGAGTTGTGTATTTTGTTTATTCATTGATTGAAGGGGCCCCTCTTGTTGAAATTTATTGCAATGAAATGGTAATAAGTTGCCAGTTTTTTTCGTTGCGAACTGCCTAACTTTCTTGCACATGGAAAACATTTTATTTATCGTTTAAAATCGTAATTTATTGATCAAATGATAAAAAAATATTCCACTGGTATGGTGAAAAAATTGCAATTCTGATAGAAAAATTATTTCAATATTTTCGTTGCACTGTGCTTCTTGGGGGGGGGGTGGAAATGCACTTAAAATGAATTACCCTGTAAGTTTAAAACATGCAGTTATGCTTCAGTAAGACTCAAAAATTAGAGATTTTTCCATCGCTTAGAAAGATATGTTCAATTTTGACACCTGCAAGTTTTAACATTATGCCTTCAGATTGTATAGGATCAAAAATCGGCTTTGAACATTTAATTTTAAAGGCTGAAAATAGAGCTGAATCTTTCTCACACGACAAATACAAGTGCTGCTACGCCACCTGATTAATGGATGAGATTGTTTTGTTTGACTCTTGGAGAAGGGGGGGGGATTCAATTTCAGGCATTTTGAGAACATTATTTTTACTTTTTTACACACTTACGAGCTCACTGTAAAGATGTAATTTTTTTATAAATTATATCTGAACATTCCTCAACGACAGGACCTGAAATGTACTACAATCTTCAAAACTACATTAATCATTTCGAACATAAATATATTCATGGGGTAAAATGAATATACAAAATGAATTATATAAAGCTGTGCTATTTACAAAAGAACAACACTGCAAAATTGTTAGAAAAAATGCGTTAACGATGAGAAAAGGGTTTTGGTAAAAGAAAACTCATACTAATTCCAAATATTCCCTCAGGTTGTGGCCTCATTCTACTTTAGAAACTAAGATCAAGTTGTACTCGTCAGATCAAAGACAAACTTTAGATTTTGAGCTTGATACACGATAAAAATTGAATTGTCTCTCCCCTTGACTCTTTTCAATTCTAACCAATTTTAATGACTTCAACCGAAAAAAAGATAACAGCTCAGATAAGAGCGAGCCAAATTCGCCAATTTCCTTGGTGGGCAGTTATAGCATTTCTGTTTAATTTATAGATTCATAACACATTTTCTCCAGTATTTTTTCATGATCATGATCATTAGATTTTTGTCCGTTGAATAGAAATTTCTGAAGTAGATCTCATTTAATTTAGTGTGACTAGGACTCGCAGAAATAATATTTACACCAAAATTTATATTAGAACAGCATTTTTCTTCAATTGTTTCGTTTTTTTAACCTGTTGAGAATTTAGGTCATTGAAAGGTGAAGAAATTCTTCATTATTTTAAGTACTTATCCTGTGAAAGAAACAAAAAGAAGGAGAAGATACTGAACAGTACAGCAGGTTCTAGAAATAGGAATATTTTCATCATGCTTTCCACGGCCAATCTCGGTTTGATCTTTGAATTACTTTTAGGATTTATATAGAATCACTTCCCGCATCCAAAACACTCGCATTGTTTCAGATTTGAAGCATTAATACCCCAATTTCAAGAATAGTGAGTGTTTTGGTCTCAGGAAGTGATTCTCCATTATCCCTGAAAATTAATCAAAGATCAATCTGTGATTGGAAATCAGCGATTTTGGGTGGGGTCCTTTGACAAAGCTCAAGGTTTTCTAGTTTTGACTTTGATAACCTAATTTTTTTTAAAGAGAGAAAAAAGTAAAAATATTTTAGTATCAGGCACATGCATACAGAAAATTAATGAGATGAAATACAAGGACATGGATGAATGAAGTTCATTTTCAACATACTTCAAAAGACGATTTTACAAACTTATAAAACTATTCAGATGGATTAATATGGAGAGAATCAACCAAATTAAATTAGAAAATCATTGACTATTCAAAATTAAAAAAGCAAAAGAGAATATAAAATGCAAAATACAAAACAAAAAAGGCAGGGAAAACTGCTGCGCAGATGTAAATTCGAAGACTGAAAATAATAAAAATGAACTTGAGAGGTGCGAACAAAATTCAAAGAACTTTAATCCCTGATCAAAAATTGTGAGACTAAGGAAACTTTAAAAATGAGAGAGAAAAATTTTAAAAACTCGATATGTTTGAAGATGGAAGTTCAAAAGAAACAGGGTGGATGAAATTAGGTGAGGGGAGCTAACGAAAAGAAACATTCGAAGAGGGGAGAAAATGTGCTGACAGAAAGAAAAAATAAGAGGAGACTTTTATCAAGGCAACGGTCACTCTCTGAGTGAGGGTATCTACAAAAACAAGAGGAGGCAGGCTGAGACGATGTATAAAGTACCCTCTTTCGCCCCTTCAGCTGAACTGGGTAGAGGTCCTGATTCTTTATCTTCCTTTTTAGCTTTTTGTTTGCGATACACCTTCGAATTGCAAAAGTCGCACAACGTCTTATTCCCTATAATTTGGTCACAATTACAAACCAGTAGTTATCAATAACACTGAACTTTCTTCATTGGGAGAGTATGGATGCCTCGATGCAAGATAACCATGGATACACTCTGACAGGTTAACAAGACGAAAGGATTGTGTGAGAAGATTTAAATACTATGAAAATTTATCCAAAAGGGATAAAATAATCAAAAGTTGATTCTTGCAAATTGATAGGCATATTGGCCTCAAGGAAGAGCAGTGAAGATAGTCTGCTTAAATCTGATCGTATTTGCTTGAAAGTTAATAGTTGTTTAATGCACATATTGTAATGGTTTTGAAAACTGTCTAAGACAAAGATCACTAAGCTATCGTGTGACTTGAGATCTATTTTGCAGGTTTCCTTAATTTTTTCCACTTACAGTTATTTTGATTTAGTTCCATTGTTCATGAAGATATTTTATGAAAATAAAACCCAAAACAGCACAACTATGACAGGGAAATAGAAATATTCCACTGAACCAAATTGGAGCATCCCTAATATTTCGTTGTTAATAATGTGGATTGATCTTGGCCTCACATTTTCTACTGAAAACTTCAGCAGATTTTAAAATTTCAACTTTGATGGGCACTTGAAGGGGACAAAATAATCTACCAGGTAGAGAACATCTGACTCTCCCTATGAAAGAGTTCAAAACTTCCAAGACTGCTGTGTACATAGTTCCAATGAATTTACATAATGAGTAATTTCTTCTGACTTGAGCTGAAATATTTATGTTTTATAGGAGAAAAGAGACATGGCCCGCCATGCAGAGAGAATGTTATGATGGCAAGTTATTCAGCCAAGCGTTATTACAGACCGTTGTTAGCTCAAACCAACCATTTGAAGCTATCGTTTAATAGTTCTCACAGTAAATGTCATTTTGTATGGTTGTCACATAGATATTATAGCTTTTACATAACGATAATGAAGTTATAAAAACAGGAAAGATAAGGTCAAAAAAACATGAGTGTGTTGCATCAGAAGAAATAGGATTGTCAAAGAAATTTATTAAAATCATGACTTCTTATGCCTTTGTTTGAAAATAAAAACAGGAAGATCAATTTATAAAACAGGGAAATCAATCATTCAAAATATTTTAAAAGCGTACAAACTCAAAATTAAATAAAAATTATTTCAACAGCTCCATTCAGAAATTTTTGAGACATAATGAGCTGCCTCAGTTCATTGCTATGATTAACAGTATTTTTACATCTACTTGCTTGTGCTGGAATTGATTAAACTGATGACTGCAGTTCAGTTTAAAAAATTATGATAAAATCTCAGAAACATTTTCATTTCAGAAAAGCATTTTTCCATTTTGTTTAGGAATTGTTCTAAAACTGAAAATCCCTTTCTCACTGACACATCACATTTAAGATTTTGACAAGAAATTGGAGCAAAATTAAAACATTAGAAATATATCAGCAATGCCGTGATGTTAACAAGAGTTCCCTCAAAAATAATTCAAAGCTAGGAAAGAGTGCTACATTTTTCTTTTTTTTTCTTTTTTTTTTTCATGAATACTTAAATATCTGATAAATTGAACGCATAAAGATAAAACCAGGAATGCAGAAACTTCTCGATCATGATCTCTTGAAAAAATGAGAGGGCTATGAAAATTGAGATCAGCGCACAAATAGCTTTGACACCGCCGCAAATTTAGAATATTTTTCACAGAATTTAAGTGAAATTGTGTCTTACACAAAGTGCCGTAATTTGTAAATGAAGAACAAAAAGGTCACGGCCTGGGGATTTTTAGAAAAAAAGGGGGTTTAAAAATGGGAAAGCCAATTCAAAATATAGGGAGGTTAAAAACTTTCTACGCCTCTGCATGAAACAGTTTTTGTCCTCAATTTGTGATCCCCTTCCATTCATGAATTTTAAGATCTTTACTGAATCCGCCAGATGAGCATGTCTACAGCAGGAGTTTTGAAGCTATTTGAGCATGATTATTCACTCTCTTCAACATAAAGTAACATATAGGGGTACTTTTTCATAAGATTCCAGTAATTTTTGGAGTTTCCTTTAATTTTAAACCATTTAATCGTTAAACCGTATTTAATTTACGCTTTTTAGGACTTTGTAAATTTAGCCACACTCTTTTTCGGAAGATTGCTCAATACGATTTCATTGACCTGCTATTCACGGACAATAGCTGCATTAGAGTTGGACAGTCAATACAGCTCACTATTCAAAATACTCTCTGAACACATTACAAATTCAAAATCTATGTTTATTAATTTTGCTCACAAGTTCACTTAGCTGCATTGCTGTTCAATAGCAATAATTATGGAAAGTTACAATCAGACATTTGCAATGTCTTTCGTTAAGTCTTAGGAGACATGATTTTCTTACTTACAGAAGTACACCGCCAATGACTCAGAATCCTGTATTGTTTTTAGTAGATCTTCTCCTTCTAATTCCTCTATTAAATCGCCTGATGGATCTTTCTGAGTCATAAGCCAAGCAAGAAGCTCTGACTCATCATACAAATCTCCTGCAAACAAACACAAAAGTATGGTGAATGAAACTCATGACTGATGATTACTTAAACGAAGGGATTTGACAAATTGGTCAAAACTCAATGCACTCCAAAAAAATATGGAGGATCAAAATTGTTGAAAGTATAGAGCCATTGCAATTACACTCCAAAATGCATTTAAATAACTTGCTGATAAAAGGTATTTTTAAATAAAAATAAATTCTTAGGTGTTAAAAATCCTGAGGACAGCATCCTTCAAAGTTAAGCCCATTGGTATAATTGAAAATGATTCGTACAATTTTAAATGAAGAATCAATTTTAAGGTACTGAGACTGTAGAGGTTTTGACGGAGCAGCAAAAAGTTAGGGACCAGATTTTAAAATCCCTTGAAAATCTTATCCCTCCTTGGAGGATGTTTAGATAGGTACCTAATTAAGTTCCTACGCCTCCCCTCAGAAATCAACAAAAATAAGCAAAATTTCTTGGATTCCAAGGTGATTAAGTATTTTTTTTAGATAAAAAACGAGGTGAAAAACAAACCTGCAAAGATAACCGGTTCTTTGGAGCCCATTTTGAAGAAGAGAATAGCCGGAAGAGCAAAAACGCCCAGCTCTTTGGCTAGCTGTTTATCATCAATTTTCACAAAATCTATCCCAGCTGAGTCGGCTTCATCATCAATATGTTCAATTTCTTCAAGGACTCGGTCACACTGCTTACAGTCATCACTGTCTACAGAAAAGTTAAAATGTTACTAAAGGGTACGTTACAAATTCAGCAGGAGAACTTGAAATGAGTAAATTTGATTCTTTTGCGCGTAATTTTTTTTTTTTTTTTTTAAATTAGAACACATATTATGCATTCAAATGAAAACAAAGCAAAAGCCTGAGATGTGAAAAGGTTAAAAATAAAAAATACACAAAATAGAGGTAATTAAGGCTAAAAATTAGAGGTTTTAAGGGACAGGGATGTTTCAAACATTATTTTAAAAACCTATATTGTTGGTGAAATTTGAAATTTCCGTGCATGGATTCAGGATTTTATCTACTTTCTGTCAAAATACTTTGACAGGAAGCTGATTGTAACTGTAATCTGTAAAATTTTGAGTAATTTTTTTTGTCAGTCTAAAAATAAAATGTTAATAAGCTCCTTTAAAAAAAAGATAAATGAGGTAACAGTAAAATTTTGAAGCATAGAGCAGGATTTTTTCCATGAATATATGTTTAATTGTTTACACATCACATTTTCAACTGAATGCTGTAGAGATTGCACTAAAAGGATTTTGATTGAGATAGATTTATTACATGGATATTCCGCTTTCCCCGTCTGGCGTACTTCCACTCTTTCAGAGCCGGCAAAGTTCCTTTGCTTATCTTCAATCGTGATTTGAAATTTTACCCTGACAAAGGGCTAAGTGGAAGTCAAGATTACCATGGCCTCTTTATCACATCAGTGCAAACGCAGCACATCAACAGTAAAAATCATATATGTTGATGGTTTTAAATAGCTATTGAACATTTAGAAATACATACAAAAGAAGACAGCAACATAATCAGTGTTCTGCCGGATCTTTTGAAACATCTTCCGATTAACTCTTTCAATATGATCTGTCATTTCCATGTTGTCTGGGTTTGTGAGCCAATCAAGAAGCTCCTCATCATCTTCAATATCTCCTAGTAAAAAGTGAACACAAAACAATGATGTAAATCTATCTTTAAGTTAATATTTTTTAGACTGCACTTATGACTTACTCAAAAAACACTACTTTTGAAAACCTCATATAAGTCATTCAAAAGCTAAGTTTACACATTTTTTACCTCAAAAACTAAAACTATGAATCAAATCTGTAAAAAAGTGTCAAGTTTTTAAAATATGTACCCGAAGCTTTCCATGGAACTTAAATTTTTAAAGTTTAGACCAATGATTTGCTAAAAAATTGATAAATGTTGGAATATCCTGTTGAGTTCATGCCACTAAAAGCTACATTATTGCACCATTATTGCATTATTGCAAGAATAGCAGCAGCTCATTAACTGCTGCTATTCTTTTTCAGAAAAGAAAAGTTTTCGGCAAAATTATAAATCCAAAATTTTAAATTTTCAAACATTAGATTTCCTTTATAGCAGCTAGTTTCCCTGATCGGATTGTTCAACAAACTAGACCGAGATCTAGATTGGCTTGTAATTTTGAGTAAATTCATTAAGATTCGAAACTATCATTACATAATGATGAAATAAAATAATGGTGAAGGAGCAATTAGAAATAGTAAACAACATTAAATTACCTGGATGGTCAATGTTAATGAAAGAAAAAAGACTGCACAAAAAACTAACCGTCATAATTTATATATTTTCCTTTCCGGAAATATGTGATGCCTGGAGGATTGCGGTAGCCGTACTTCTTGGCCATGAGTCTATCTTTGCACTTGACAACTTTTATCCCATATTCTGCTGCTTCATCATCAATCAGCTCAATGTGCCTTAAAACACGAGGAACTTTCGGCTCATTATCTACATCTGCAAGCCAGAGGGGGAATAAAATTCAAATCAGAATGAGGATCACAAAAGAAAAGGTGACTAGTTCATACAGCACTAATGAAACTCACGTACTAACTTAATTTTTCAGTTATGTCTGTTTCTTTGTTTAAAATAAAAACCATAGAATGAAGAAGCTATAACTTTTATAAGTTCATCAAGAAAATCAAATTTGAATCTTACGTAAAATTTATGCGTAATTTTTAGAATTTCAACAATCAAAGCTTTGAATTTGTCTCAACAACCTTTACTTTAGTAATACAACCTTTGATAGAATTTAAATTTAAGAACCCTTCTTCCTGATTGTAAAAACTAATTGTTCCTTTGAAAAATAGGAGAAATAAAATATTGAGGTATAGTGACTCACACCAAACAACAGCAAGAAATTCTTTCGTTTCAATGTACTCGAACAATGTCTCGCGATCAATTTCATCGATACTTTCATCTGTTTTCTGATTGATCATCCAATCTAGAACGCTAGATTCGTCTGTAAGACTCCCTGAAATGAAGAAAGAAAAGACAAAGAAAAAACAGGAAATTATAAAGAAAAAACAAAATGAACTCCTTCATTTGTGGAGCCGGTTGAAAAATTAATTTGACTGCTTGTTTAAATTTTTCGATTGAAACTTTCATTACATGATTGCTCGTATTATTCATTTTTCTCTGTTGAGACAATAGATGACCTTAAAAACCTAAGGGCTTGAAGAACGTAATAAAAGTGATTAAATAGCTGCATTTAAGAGGATCTAATATTCATTTTTACTCTGTTCGCCAAAAAAGTCAAAAAGAAAGAAAGGTATGATATTAAAGTGGTATCAAATTGCATATGAGAACAAGATCACCCTATGAATGGCGGTAATTTTGTAATTACCGCCACCATTGGTAAAAAAATAATGAATAATGAAATAATAATGAATTGGAGCTTAAATTGTTTACCCATTTTTATCTGAGGAAAAAAGTATTATTCGGTTGACTTAAGTAGAAATGAGAGAATTAATGGAGAATTTACAATTGATGAATATTTAGTCAGTGTGATCATGCCTTATGAAAGTTTGATCCTCGTACCAGAATGATTATTTTGAGACAGTTACGACTTTTCTATATCAGGACGAGTTTGATACATGCTCCCAATTAGTAAGAGACAAGGGCGTGTCCAACCCGGTGACAATTTCTTTGATGATCCCTAAGAGATACATGCATGGTCTGCTAAAAAGTCATCGCAAACTCAAAACAGTCTCCACAACCAAGTTAACTATGTACACATCTATTCACAATTTATCATAATATTTTTTTAACCTGTCAGAAATGATTGATAAGTAACTTTTGCAGATAGTTCGGCGGCTGCACTTGTCATTTTCAACTGCATATTTACTAAGTTACCTCATGGAATTTTTATTTACAAAAATCAGAGTAATGAACAACTATTACTGATGTGCCTGCAACTGAAATCATTTTTTTAACCTGTTTATGAACCGAATAGGTCATGATTATGTGAAAATTTAGTAACATTTGCACCTACACCAATTAATCAGGGTACATTTTCATGACAATTGTTTCAAGTTGAAAGATTGTTCAATACGACAATTTTTGTGACTTTTTAAGAGGAGGAATCATAATTTTTTTTAAAGAATCCTTGCACAAAGTGATGCTTAAAAACTACAAGGGTGACTGATATCAATCATATTTCCATGGCATAAAACAAGAACACTCAAATATTCTGTATGAATTCTAAAACGTGAGAGGACATCTGACACATACAGTGTTTCAAAACAGTACTGGTGCTTTATTACCTCCAAAAAACCTTGATAAAAATTTTTTGCATGGAGTTGTGGAGAGGTCTTTTTAAAAGTCAATGTACTTTTTGGCAAAGAACCAACCAGAATTTTTCTTCAGTTAAAATAAAGTAAGGGGGAATTTTGAACGGTTGCTAATTGAAAAACGTATTATTTACTTTTATTGATTATTGCTGCAGTATTCTATTTTTCTAGGAGGCTTTAGGTAATGGAAAATATATTAGGAAAAGTGGGCTTTGTGTTTTGAAATTAATTAAATAAACTCCTACATTAGAATAAGACTACTGGCAGCTAATAGCAAATGTTAGAATCTGTTTTACATTAAAAAGTTGATCTTCTTTTTTATTTTTTTAAAAAGAAGTCTTTCTCAATTATAGATTTGTAAGATTCTTTCCTTCCTTTATGCAGATTAAAAGTGCGTTGTTTGCCTAAATTATATCGTAACTGTAACAGAACAGACATACTAATTGTAAGACACAGACGTCAAAATGGTGAACAAAATAAATAATGAAAAAAAGGAAGAAAAAATGGCTCAATAGATGACACTTTATGCACTATTATAAGTTATGAGCAAAATGAAATAGCGACAGGCTGGCTGAAGAGAGCCAAGATAATTTGACTCTTTGAAGAGAGAACTAAAATAAATAATAATTAATAAATAGAAACCTTGATAACTGTAGCTTATGAGAAGGCACTGGAATGGCTAGTTGAAGGATCTGCTATAACCAAAATAAACATGAGTAAAAGTAAGTAAAAAAAGAGGAAAAAAACAACTGGGTGCTGAAAATCAAACTCTAGAGAGTATAACCATAAAATCCGACGGAAAAATTCAAAGCATTCACCATTAAATAGTATTTTCAATATTCTAACTGTTCTGACCATAAACCAATTTTCGTCTGTTTATGAATAATATGGAACACAACATTGATTATTTCACCAAAATTTAACAGTATTTTTGATCTCAGTAAGGCAAGCATTTTCAGTAGTTTCTTCCTAAAAATTTCTATTCATAACTGTATTTCCTTGTTTAAAAAAAAAGGAAAAAAAAAAAAATTTATTAGAACTTTAATGATTGGTGTGAGAAAAATATTTTTGATACAGTGTGTACGATAGGGAATGTTGATTAGTATCAGTGGGTACTAATTGTTATTAGTAACAGTTAAGGATAGGTGCATTTAAAGGAATACATACAATCAAGGTCATGATGCTATATGCTCCTCACTGACCATTCTAGAATCAATGGAAACAAATTTTTCGATAGAAAAAAGAGAAGAGTATTACATAACAACATTGCTTAACCATTGAACTTGAAGAAAATAAACTAAACAGAAATCTTGTAATTTACATTGTAGCAAAAAAGCATGACCCCAAAAAAAAGTGATGATATAGTCGAAATGAAGAACTATAAACAAAGTATTTCTAGAGAATAAAAATTGAGAAATGAAGGATGAAAAAGAATCATTAGTTAGGTGCACAAACAAAAACACAAGAAGGACCCACTATGCTGCCACGCAGAAAAAAAACAAAAACTGAGAAGAGCCGATGTTTTCACCTTACTTTGCTTGAAAAATAGAGGCTTTATTAGACTCAAAAAGAAGTAAATGATAGTCCAAAAAATTCTAAGCCAAAATTCAATGATTGTGAATATTGTCAGAATAATTTGTCTCACGATGTAAATTGGATGAAAGAAATTAAGGACTTTCTTAACAAATTTCCCTGTCCTTCTCAAGAATGTCCGCACTTTACCAACTGAAAATATCAGGAAAAATAACATTAACAGCCTATAGCTGAGGTGACAAAGGTAGGAACTGAATTTTTGTGAAATCATCAAAATTCTCATAAATGAGTTTTCTTAGAAATAAAGGAATAAAAATGTACCTTCTGTCAGGTTTTAGCAATTATAGGGAGGGACTGGCAAAAAGAAAGTGTTGAAAAGAAAATCTGGTCGGAAACGATTTTCTTCTAAAAAGTAAAGGAGCAACCAATAATTCCTTCATCATTTAAAATCAATAAAATGAATGATTAAGTGCAAACAAACAGATAAAAAAAAATTTACTTAAAGATTCTGAAATTAAAAAGGGGAAATGTTCAAGTCAATATCAATTTACTTTTTGACCTAATGACCTAGGTATTTTGAGTCTCTTTGGGAACTGCCCCATGCCTAAATGGATGTAAAGAACCAGGAATGTTGAGGACATAAAAGATTTGGACTTTCAAATTTTAACAGGGTCACCTGATTGCTTTCCTGATCATGTTTAAACTTTTATGAGTGTAATTGAGAGAGAAAAAAAGAACACTCATTGGAAACAGCTGTGATGAGTTTAAATGGTTTGTATTACAAAAATAAATATATTTACAAATTGCTAAATCAGTAAAAATATTTTGTACATCACACATTCAGTTAAATGACATTTAAATTGCATAAAAAGACTTCTGGTCACGGCATTGAATAAAAAAACAAGTAACAAAATATTTTAAGTCCCAAGTATTGTCCGTTTTTTTTTTTCTTTGTCTAAATATTACATAACAGTTAATAAATATAACAAAAATAATAACAATATTCAAAGTAATAAATAAATTATGCCTAAGTGGTAACAAAGAGAGTGATACTTAGTCTAATTTTTTACAAATTGTCGTTATATTCTGAAAAATTGATTTTGATGGAAAATCATTTACTTTTTAAAAACAGTTTTCTTTTTTTCGAAGGAGTGTGAAAATCATAAAAGGGACAACTTCATTTCCTGTTCTTTTCTCTTTCTCTCTCCCCCTCCTCTCATTTCTTCATAATACGACATAGAACTTGAAAAAAAAAGGATAGGAGACTCACAACAATTGGCTGAAACAGAACAGTGTACCTGAAAAACTTAGATTCACTCTTTCTTTGAGAAACTGTGATGGAATTGAAAAATTTGGGACGGGTCAATTTATGAACTACTTAATGAAAATTTTACTGAAATCTTAATGGATTGAGAAACACCGAGTCCAAAAGAAAATTTTCAAGCACAGGCAGAAGAAAATGATGCCTGGATTTTGAGATAGGGTGATGCAAGTATGATTAATGTTTCTATTGGATAAAGAAACTAAGTGTTTCTTTGATAACAGAGGATCTTGTGTGACTGTACAGCATTTATGTTTTTATAATGCTCGAAATGTTACTACAGGGTTATAACATTCATGTAATTTCAACTAAATATTTTTTAAAGTTAGCAGGAGGTCAAATTTGTCTCATAGTGGTTTGAACATAAATTAAAGTCAGTAAATGTGAATTGCTAGATTAGGTAATGTTAGATGAAAAAGACTTGGCAGACGGATTTTTATAAATTAATGATGGTGCCATTTTGAATGAAAATGTTTGTCATGTTGACCATGAGATTAGTGAATACGCCACGGAACCACTATGTCTTACAGATAAGGGTAAGTTAATACTCGTAGTTTCATTTTAGAAACCAGGGCATGGGTTAGGAAAACTTTAAGAGTAAAAACGCATGTTTTAGAAGAAGTGCTCTTCAAATGAGCACTTCTGCCACTAAAATCAATGATAGCCCAACAGAGAAATTGGTGAATACAAAAGATAAGTAAGATACATCCTTAAAAAAAATAAATCTTGTGACCAGTTTTAAAGTTGTTCTCAATTCTGAACACAAGACAGTGCATTTCATTTTCATTTGTTTGCGTTCAGAAGTAATTGCAAGAGAACTATTAGAGAGTTACTTAACAAAATAATTTTTTCAGCTAATCTGCACTTACTTTTCATTAGACTGAAGGCCAAAAACTCTGTCTGAAAAAAATGATGCTCAGCTCTAAAATTCTATACTGAGTAGATGTAGAGGGTAGGATCTACTTAATGTTATGTGGCTGAGCAAAACTATCACGATTAAAAATTAAAGTACAAATTATGACATCCAGTTATCACATAAAGACAATCAGATGAAGTGCTGGCTTAAATTGTTCCTACTTGAGGTAGTGAGTCAAAGAATATAGAACAAAAGTCAAAAAACTTCAAATAAAATGATACCCAAACAAGAGAGGAAAAAAAGGGATCATAAAGGTTGAAGTTTGATACTTTAAAAACAGGGGAAAATAAAAATTATATAAAAAAATACCATAACAAAGAAAAAAACTATCAACAAAATTTCTGTTTATGTACAATGAATGCGTGCGCAAACATTTTTATAAGTTCGTGAGGACCATCTAGAAAATCAAACTTAGAAAGTTGTTATTCACTCAGTTTCATCTGTTGTCGAACATACCTTAAAAAATAAACTAGTATGAGACGAAATTCTTTCTAATTCGGAAAAATCTGATTAGTACTGAGTTTAATCAATTTTCAATACATTTGTGTGGCCACATTGATGGTCCTTACTTAAAATTCCTGTGAGTTTGGAAGTGTCATTAATAAAACTATGTTTCTGCCCTCCATTCTAAGTGGATTTCAGTTGAAGACAAAAGTACTTGACTAGAGCAAGGAACTAATCACACTGACGAGCCATGTCTCTTTATCATGTACAAAGAAACCTACCTACCATTATTAACTCTGTTCATTGGCTTGGTTTTACTATTTCAGAGATTCCTACAAGTGAATTTCTAGAAAGCAGTGAATAAAAATATTTTGAAAATTAAATAATTATTTATTTTACTTGAACCGTTTGAAAAAGCTTATGTGCTTAAATGTCTTTTCTCATCTTTCGATTAGAAAGAAAGTACTAGATATTCAATGAACACAAAGGGGTTGGTCATGACACATCCTATGCGAAATTAGTTTAGCTAGGAAGTGAGAAGTCTCAGCTTTAGAAATTTCTACCTAGGTGCAGAAAAAAAGAGAAGTTTGACAGCATCCCCTTTTTCCTCACTGGTCAGCATTTTTGCAGTGCCAACTTCAACTGCACCTTTTTACTTTTCTGGACGTTTTTCGGGATATGACTGCAGATAGAACATGTCTCATTTAAAAAGAAAATGTTTCATTTAAAAGTCTCTTCCTATAAGGGGTTAGTAAAATAATATACCTATAAGGTCAGTAAAACCATGAAAATTATCCATCAAATATTACTTAAAGGCTTAAATTTTTTGAAAAAAGGTTGCCACTTCTAGGTAACACAATTTAAGGAGTCTTCCAGTTTTTAGAAAAGGTGCAAATATTTGCTCAAAGAACAGCAAATCATTGAAAAAATTTGGAGAGGTAATAAAATAAGTTAGAATTATGAATCTAGAATTAAACTATTGTTAAGGAACTGTTAAATTCTTTTCATTCGAAGCTGAAGCACTATCAGCAATATCAATTGAGAAGTTATGAAAATATTCAACTAGTCAGTCTTCCATAAAATATTGGTTCCATTCCAGATGAAGATGCTATAGCGGTTACACTCTACGGATTGATGCAGCAAATTTTCTGTTTTCTATTATAAAAAATATCGAAAAAGTAAGGTTTGAAAACATTATATTTGGTTCTGGGATATTTGTGATGAGGTGGGTGTAGATTTGATTTTGACTACAAATCATTCTTCTTCTGACATGATCAGAAATATCGATACCTGAGTAAGTAGAATATTTTTCCACGCAAAACGAAGATTGGTAGGGGTTACCAAAGTTTTCTTCAAACCGATCGGAAAAAAGGGACAAAATAATTGAGCCTCTAAAGGGAAACTCTGGAAGAGAAAGGAAAGTCATCAGTTTGGAGACTAGTTGAATACGTACACAGCATTACAGATTTTGAGCGTTTACAGCTAAAGAGATCTTAATAATTTTACCACCACCACAAATATTTATTCCCAAACAAACTTTTTTTCCCTTTGGTTGGTTTCTCTTGGATGGATAAAGCTGCTCTGCTTTTACCGTTGGCTGCAGAGTCACTTGTGTCCTTTTTACCGGTGCTCTTGGTAGTGTCTCTGTCTCTTTTCGATGATCCTTTTTCTTTTTGTGTGTTTTTGTTATCAGATGTTGGTGTTACTTTTGCCACTTTAGAACCCTTCTTGATCTTTGTGGGGCAGCACTGGTACGGCTCGTATGAGGATTTAGGAACCTCGTGTTTCCCGCCTAGTCCAATGAAGAAACAGCCATCGCCTGCAGCAAAATTAAATGGAGATGAGAATACTTTAAAAAATCAATTTAAGGGATAAGCAAACCACTGACATGAAAAAAAGCAAATACATACAACAGTGTGAAACTAGTTACATGTATGTATTGAGGAGAAGAAGCGGAGAAATTATCCTTGCCAAAAATTTAGGATTATGAACTTTGCTCAAACTGAATGAGTCAAACTGGAATCAGTTTGCCATCTCATTTTAATTTGTTTCAGAGTTCTTTCTTGAAAAATAATTAGACTTGAAAAACATGCAAATGAGCAAAGTAGCATAGTGCAATATTTAAGTGGCAGCAAATAGCAAATCACCGACTCTGAATTCCTCTATGTGATTGGCCTTAAAATTTCAATGGAAAAAAGGAATGGCTTCACAGATACGAAACAAAGAGGGGTTGCACAGAAAATACTGAGTTTCTTTGAAGTCAGTTGTATTATTGGGGATGTATTAAGGTAAACGCGCACAAAAGCATGAGCATGGAACTATATTTGATGCTTCTCCGGTTTGAAACTAAATAAAAAAAATAATTTTGCTGCAGACGATACAACTGTAAGTTATCAAATCTCAAGGGAAGAAAGGTTTACATTAGGAACATGCTGATCATTGGAAGTTAGTGATACATGAAACTGAGCCCACCAAAAGATTAAAGATACGAATAAAACAGAGAGAAAAGACAGTATAAAATACATAGTACATTCATTGATCACATTATTTCCATTCTGGTTGTCTACATAGATTTATTCTTTAAACTTCACATGATTCTTACTAAGAAAATGTGTCTCAAACGGAAAACAGTTACCATAACGGAATGTGAGGGCCATGCCAATCAAACTTGACATATCTTTCCTTTTCATAGAAAATTTTAAAAGTACAATAATTAATTGCTAAGTAGTGGATGCCTTAAACACCTTGAACACCTGAGAGGAAAGTTTCAAAACATGTTCTAAATTTGGATCCACTGAACGAGATACTATTGATGGAATTATAACCGATAAAACCAATACAAAAATACCTTCAAAAGCATTTTAAAGGTTGTTTTAGAGAATAATGACATCATATTTTTCCTGTGTGACTCCAGAGCATTCATTATCTATTGTGATAACTATTCAATAGGGTAGTTTTTTTGATCCATGATTTTGGGATCCTCATTGCCCTATCATTATATAATTGTACAATAAAACACCTACCCTAGGATTTGAAAATGAAGAAAATGAGGACAGGGAAGGAGAAAATTGAACAAGCAACAAAACAAGCTAAAAAAAATTTGACAACTATTTTCCTTGGTTAAAAAAAGTCTTGCATTCGAAAAAGGATGCAACTTTTTGACTGCTTGTGAATTTTCAGAGGATCCAAATCAAACACAATGTAAACCAACTAGTCTAGTCAAAATCTCAAAAGATGATTGCAGGGCATAACAGGTTCTCAAACCTCTACTGATCCATTTCTCCACTACCAACCACCACTTAATCCGGTTGATTACCATGTAATTTTCGTGCACCTTCAAGACATTTTTCCCCGCATCTTACGAATTCTGCTTGATGATAAGATTTCATTTACTGTACCTAAACTATCATCATCTTTATCATCATCATCATCATCATCATCATCATCATCATCATCATCATCATCAGCATCATCATCTCCATCCTCAGTGTCACTATCGTTGTCGTTTTCATCATTATCATCATCATCATCATTATTATCATCATCATTATCATCATCATCATCATCATCATCATCATCATTATCATCATCATTATCATCATCATCATCATTATCATCATCATTATCTTCTGTGCTATCATCATCACGTCCAGATGATTTGGAGCTGATACCTCGTTTACTTTTGCTGGGCTTACTTCCACTGGGGTTATCACCTGTTTAAAGATGACAAATTTTTATTTACTCCTAAAACTATATATTGAATAGATATGATAGAGCATGAGTGCAACTTCACCTTCAATGAAAGAATCAAACACACCCTAACTCTTCTGAAAGAGCCAGTGTAAAATTTACATTTACTTAAAAGTTAAAACAAAAAAACTGATTGAACGACAAATTAAAAGCAGTTTGAATTTTATGGAAATCAACAATGGAAATTTTTGGTTTTTCATAGGTAAGATGCACTTCATCAGACAATGCAATACCCTATTGAGGATCATCATCTTGAAGTGCAATTTGCTTTTTGAGTTGTAGGCTTTTCTGAGAGTAAACTAATTTATGAAATAACAATTTTGACTGCAGTGGTATGATGATGACAATTGCCTCCATCGAGTGGTAGCATTACACTTTGCTATAGTGAGGCAAATATTCTGGAGGGAAATTATTCAAAAGAACGCATCTAAATCTGACCATAGTAAGATCTCTTCATTGAGCAAAATTATTTAGACTTCAATGCTTTCTCCTTTTTTTTTCACAATTATTCTCAATCTCACATAATAGAGGTCTGCTTAAAATGATAATGATATTTGTGACTATCTCTTTCAATATTTCGTTTGCAATGATTGTTGAGGTCAAAGGGTGCCTACATGAAGTACAAACCAAGCGATTCCTATAATTTCATATTGAGCCCAAAAACTTCTTTTGAGTTTAATAACTGCTGTAAGCACATGAATTTTAAATGATGATGTTTAATTCTAATAAAAAATTACCTGGCAAAAATTTTTTCTTAGATATGGAAGGTTTTTTGAAAAATAATTCATGGTTTTTAAATGCGTCTGTCTGGATCATGTCTTTGATCAGAAAACTAACTCAGAGGTCATTAATGAAACTTTGAGCCCTTCAATCGTCATTGATGCAGTTTTTAGCCATCACTAACCCATCAATTTGATTGTGTGACAACAGCCTATATATAACACTTCTTATTGGTGAAACTAAATATATAATCTATAAGATGAAAAACAGTCATAAAAGTTGGGAAATCTGATATTTCCTACGCCTTTTTAACATTTCAAGGCTAACAGGGCTGTTAATAAGTTTTTCAAAAGAACAATACATTTTAATTATCGAACTCAGAGGACTGAGCTCTTGTGTAAGTAGCACTAAAAATAAGGAACCAGAAATCTTTTTATGGCATTTAATTTAAGACAGTTTGGATCAAAATATCTAGGGACTGAGAAAAAAAAACTGATTTTAATTATTTGGAAATAATTGCAATTTAACAGACATGCATAGACTCTTGATCAAAATTTTTCTTCACTTCAGATAGAGCTCCAGCTTGATGATGAATAAAAGTAAAAAATCATTTCACTTTGGATAAAATAACCCAATGTTCTCCAAAATATCCCAATACTCAAAAGCAAATGTAGCACTGATTATCAAGAGTTTAGTAAAAGCTACGTAATTGAAAGACAACTCAAAATAAAAAGCTACATTAACATTGAACGGAGATTACTGAAAATATAGGCCAGTAAACAGTTTTTTATACTTCTTTGTTAACTTATTTAAATTTTTTGTTTTTAAATTTGTTTAGGGCTGAATAAAACTAGAAAGTATTAAGGGGGAATAGAGGGAAAAATGAAAATTATCACGCACTAAGAAATCGAGAATAGCATGATGGTGTGATCGACTCCTTTTTAACAAATCTAATGATGTTGTGACACCCAAAGGTCTAGATTTTCCATTACCTATACTACAATTCTGATTTAAAATTGAGATTTTTATACTATTAGTGCGTTGCATATCCGTTATCAAGCTCAGAACAAAGCTGTGGTAGGTTTCTTTTCCTCTTTTGGTGGAGAAACGAAATAAGGCCCAGGTGTCAAAAAGCTTTAAAATTCACAGTCACAACTATTCCTTCATGTTTTCTTTCCTGATGGAAAAGGATTGACTGTTTTCATCAAAACTTATCAAATTGAATTAGAGGCTGTGCACATGTAAATTCTTCCTTTGTTTATTGACCTATCAAAAAATACTCTGATTGTAAATCATGTTTAATTGTTAGTGTTATAAAGTATGTAGTTAGTTAAACAACTTTTAATGACTGCTTTGCGTTTTTGTATTACAAGCTGAGCGGAAAAAATCATATGTACATAAACAACTATGTATTGGAAGACCAGGTTGTGTTAGAGATAGAGATCCTGACCTGAGAGTTTTTTGAGTCATGAAAATGATATGCTGCTTTTTCCTTCCTACTCTATTGCAACAGTAAAGAGGATAAAAAGAAAGGATAACGAGTGATAAAATAAAGAGGTGGAGAAGTTGAAATTTATGATTAAAGAAAAGCACAGAGTGACATCATTTTTATAAGTGTATTTTCCGAAGGAAATACACTGTTGCGTTTTTCAAATTTAGTGTTCAACTCTTATTGGGTCAGGTTAACAAGTTGGGAAGATTATGATCTGCACCAAAACGTTAAAAAATGGTGTTCTAAAACCCTTCATCTTGGCAAGACTGATATTTTTAAGAAAGAAACTACTGGCAGCTTGTGAGATATGAAGATAGAGTAACAAAATATAGAGAGTAAATGCTTTGAAATGCAGAAGTCAATGTTTGCACTGATAGAATCAGTTGTCCTAGATATGCTCCGATACTTGTCACCAGCATTGCTGCACTGGGAATTGATGTTTGTCGAAATGGAATAGGTAACTTCATTTGGAAAAGCAGGGATTTGGTAAATACTCTCCTTAAAATGATACCAAAAAAAACTTTGACTGCAATCTGCTCCCAGTTAATAGCAGGTTTTTATGGATATGAAAGGCATTTTTCACATCTAAAAATATTATACACTGCAGGGACAACAAATGAAGAGGGTGCTTCTTTTTCTTTTTTTTATAATAATAAGAGGGCAATTAAGACCTCATCTTCATCAAAAGCTTCAAAAATTATCAGATGAATTTCCTCTGATGGTGATTCATTGCCTTACTTATTTAAAAGATCTTCTCTTTCCTAGAAAGAGATGAATGGATTTAACTTCAAACATCAGTTCCTCTGATTGACCACTCTCAATTTCTATGGGTTTAGAGTGTCAAAAGTATTTCTTTTTTCCTTTTGCATTACAGTAGAACCTCGGTTATCAGCATCCCTGTATCCACGGTTTCTTGTGTCTGAGCTGGCTCCTGAGTGAGTCCGTTGGTGAGGATTTGTTGACAGATGAAAACATGTAATGTAAACAAATGTTTACCGTACTCATTTCACTGACAAAGAAATATTGCATTTTTAAAACAAAACAGGTGAATTTTGAAGGAAAAAATTCATTGCTTAAAATTTGCACTTTTTGCTTACAAAAAATAAATAATTAGATTAATAATTCTTTACAAACACATAAAGGATGTACATCAAAATAAGACTTCTGGAAAAAGTGGATTTCGAGGGGGGAAAAAAAGTTTTAAAATTTTAAATTGATGATTTTCTAATATGTTAGGAAACAGTTACATACAATTTTTTACAGTATCCAGTCTTTTTTGTTCTAATTTTATGACCACTTCTAGCTAAAATTTCAAAAACATATATCTCTCATTTTTACTATTTGACGTGTTCATGAGAAAAATAAACATTAAGTTTATTTGGCTACTTCTCGGACTGCCTCTACTTCTTGAAAATTCTTGTGACCAAGCAACCGCCCACCCTCTACAACACCTCACACCCCAATTAGCTTGGATAACCGAAGTTCTACAGTAGTAGAGTATACATCATTTTTGCAAATGAAGATCTTGCAACATTTACTGAAATTGAAAGAAAAAAAATACAATAAAAAAATCTTACTTTTTTGTTCAATTAGCCATTCCAGGACTTTCTTCTCATTCTTTAGATTACCTAAAAAAAGTGACATGATCAAAAACATAGAAAAAATATGATTACTTGGCATTTTCAGCACTACATGCAAATAAATGCACATCAAAATCATGATTATGTAGGATATTTAGAAGTCCATTACATTCCACATCTACTCCTTTTGTTTGCAATTAATTAAGTTAGAATCCTACTTAAATTTAAAGACAGTAATGGCAACCACAGGCTCTGATGAGGGTTGGACTCTTTTTTTTTAAACTCATATTGGTTTTATTTATTTCTCTTGGAGTACCCAAGAACATTTTTAGCCTAGTGCGATAAAGTACTGAGATTCAAAAAACACTTGCACCTTCCAACGATAAACAAGCATGGTTCATACTTGTTTCTGTCAATAGTAACATGAGTCCCTAAAAAACCGTTAAAATTCTTAAACCAATAAATAGACTGAGTAGATTTTCAAAAATTAGATTTTATCTTACAATCTTCATTTACCTCCTCTTATACTGCAGGAATGAGAAGGGACATTTTTCAAGCTTTCTTGAGAGAACACTACACATAATTTTTTACTGCTGCAACCGCAACAATTCAAGAGTACAATCCTATTGCCTTGTTGAGCAACAGGAAAGAAAAAATGTAAAGACAGTTGGTGGATTATGAGATAATCTAATTCACTTACCGTCAAACATAATCGGAACACCGGTTTCATAGTAGACTAGGGCTGGAAAACTGAAGATTCCCAGCTCTTGAGCAAGTTTCGAGTCTTTTGATTTGACGAACTGGATGCCATGTTCATCTGTGTCGTCATCAATGGTTTCTAGTTCTTCCAATACTTTTGCACACGTGGGACACTTGTCTTCATCTTGATCTGGAATCACATACATAAAATGAATCGTAATTTTAAAACTACATGCAAGATAAATATAATTTTTTCCTGATTAAATATTGGCTAGAGAAAACGTTTGAATAAAATCTAAGTTAAGAGAGGTTAGGTAAGGTGAGACAGTTGAAATTTAGAACCTCTTGGATTTGTTGGATATCAATTTAGCTTCATTTTAAAATAAGAACACTATAATTTCTGCATAGGGTGGCACTTAAAGATGGCTTAAAATTGTTTTGCAAACATAGGCCATTTTAGCATGCGAGTTTCAATACATGGTCAGCGAGTAGCTAGCGTGTACCCATTTCTGAATTGAGCAGGGAATATTTCCATTAAAATGCACAAATTATTATGATATTAAGATCAATTATAATAATTCTGTTATAATAATAATTTCTGAAAGATTCATAAAGATCCTGAAAGAGTCACAAGACGAGCTGTAAGTTACTTGCTAAGAGAATGACACAATCATAAAAATTGCCTTGGTTGATCAACGACACTAAAACAGATGTCACCCGAGTCTTAGAAACTTTGAACAGGAAGAAAATTTGGCTTCAAAGGCGTCTTGGATGACAGAGGGTAAAACATTTGGCAGCTTAAAAATTTTATGAGCATTGGGACACCAAAAACTTTTACTGGAATCAAAGATCAATTAGATAGAGCTCCATGATTAAGTGATCCAGTAGAACCCTTACTGATTTTATTTATTAAGATAGTAATACAGTTATTTGACATAATGAAAGATCAGTGAGAATTACACTTAAGGGAGGTAAAGAAAAAGATCTCGTGAGAGAGATAAGTGCCTTACAGAAATAAACGGCCAGATGTTCAACACCATTGATAAGAACTTGAAGAGTTTTTCGGTCTACACTTTCAATTACGTCAGGAGTAGATTCATGCAAATCTAGAACCCATTTTAATATTTCCTCTTCGTGCATTAGATCACCTGAAAAAAAAATGGAAATTTTAGACATCGCCGTGTGGAATAGAGGCTGAGTTAAATCTGTCAATGAAAAAAAATTCATTTTCACGGGTTTTTCATCATTGAGCCTTCTCACAAGAAATTCAGGACCATAGATTCCCTCCCATGAAATATTTCAGGTTACCCCTCTCATAAATCGTCTGAGTGGAAGGTAAAAATGAAAAAGCACTTTTCACTCAAGCTTTCTTCAGGATCTTGAAATGAAATGTAAACGCTGACATATAAGCCAAAAATTGAAATATGCGGTCAATCTTGCTGAAAATAAAATTAATATTCGTGTTCTTTGGGCTGAAATAACCCTATCAATTTTTTGACAGTTTTGATCAAAAGGAGAAATTACGATGTGCCTGCCTTTAAATGGTGGATCTTGAGTAGCTCTGGGCAGATGAACAATGTGCTCACCGGAGCGGTTGAATTTCAAAAATACAATTGATGATAGACACTTCAGCCAACCACTTGATCAATGACACAAATCAAAGGCTAAAAAATTTCTCAGCTACTTATTTTCTATGGAGATTTACATACTCATAACTCAGGATGCAGATTTTAATTTGGTTAAGAATACAAGCAGACAGTGGGCATTCAAGAGCAAATAAAATCATTGCCTTTATTGATGATCACCTCTGAATCGGTACCTGAGAATCTTCTGCTATAGCTGAGTTCCATAACTGATTTTCAAAATATCTTACAATTCAAATGAAGATTTTGGAGCCTTTTTTATGCCTCAACGATCAGACTTCTTGAAAACAAATATGACAAATCGTATTTTTCTTGCTCAAAAGAGCGTCCAGCACTAATGGACATTCTTTTCACGGTTAGGGCTGCTTGAACAAATCAGTGATGCGCTTAAATTAGGACGTTTAGGGTCCAAAATGTGATATTAGTGATGAAATTTTGGACAAATTGGTGCGGTGAAAGGTCATGATAGAGGTATACTTTGTACAAAGTTACTTACCGGTATATATTTTCCGGAACCTGTTTTTGTAGAATACAAGGGCCGGTAATGCTGGGAGATCATATTCCTGCTCAATTCCTTCATCCGACACTTTCAAAAAGCTGATGTCCTTCTCCTCACATTCATCATCAATATTCTCAAGTTCGCTCAATATTTTTGCGCTCTTCTTATCTCCTTCTTTGTCTGGTGGAAAAAATGCTTTATTTAAAATGGGAAAGCTACACCCGAAATCAATCAAAGTTTTCAGATCACAGAAATAACAAGCATGGGCTTTCTTTCAGTTAAATACAAAATCTCGAATAGTGCAAGAATGCCCCATGTCCAATATTTGTTTTTCCCGCTAATATGTAACAATTTGTAGTTGTGTTGTGTCGACTATAAAGAATGGAAGAATTTTTCTTACATACTGAAAGTTTGAAAAGATGTCTTAATTTTATTTTGACGCTTTTTTAGCACGGAGGAAACGATTCTGAAGCAAATTTTTGCGACTTGATAGAAAATATCTGGTGTTCAATGTCCGTTATAAATCCCTCTCTTTCAAAAAAGGGAGGGAGAAGAGGGAGGGGATCAGTTGGACGTCCTCTCGACGACTCTTTACTAAAATACATAACTTTTTGCCTATGCTCAAAAGTTTAATTCGAAGATCTGAATTATTTTTTGCGATTTACAACAAAAAACAAGAAAGTAAAAATTCTCTTTAACAGTGAACCTTTTTGTACGAGCCGATTCAATCTAATTTTGACTTTCTATTCTGATAAAAGCAAATCTTTAAAATCCATCCTAACAAAGTCAAATCAAAACGATTATATTAAATTGATTAAACTTAGACATGAAAATAGGGTAAAAAATACTAAATAAAAGAGTGCACTGAGAAAATAGTTAATGAATTTTCTCCTCAAAATCAAATTCCAATACCTACTTCACACAACATTAAAATCAAGAATGACAGCTTAAATCACAGAAAATACCAATGGGCCTGTTGCAAACTTTTGCTAGAGCAAAAATAAGAGTTGTTTCCTATAGATAATGCCTCAAAAATCACGATGAGCGCATCGGCAAAGTCTGAAATGCAATCATAACTTCACAATCTGCGTAAGAAATTTGCGTTTTTTTGAGCTTCCCGCTTCAAAAACGATACTACGGCACAGGTGATTATTTTGTTAGAAGAGTCGCTCCATCGTCAGCAATATTCATCATGGCCGACGCTTGCGCAGTTCCTCGCGTAATTCGAGGAAAGTTCAAGGTCAATCAAGGCGGGCGAGGAAAATATGAACGTAAACACGCCGATTGTTATCTGGTCTAATCCTGTTCAGGTGTTATCTCGTCCCATCACAGGTATTTTGGCGGATTGTCGTCGGCCATGATGAGTATTGCCGACGATGGAACGACTCCTCTAACAAAATGTTCACCTGTGCCGTAGTATCGTTTTCGAAGCGGGAAGCTCAAAAAACCGCAAATTTCTTACGCAGATTGTGAAGTTATGAGTGCATTTCAGACTTTGCCGATGCGCTCATCGTGATTTTTGAGGCATTATCTATAAGAAACAACTCTTATTTTTGCTCTAGCAAAAGTTTGCAACAGGCCCATTACGGACTAAGTATAAGAAAGAAGACTCACAGAAGAATACAACAACATTCTCATTCTCGTCTAAAAGCTTCTCTAGCATTTTTACATTGACTTCTTCAATTCTCCCAGGAATTTGAAGAGTATCATCATCATTCAGCCAGGCTAAAACCTCATCTTCATCTTCTAAGTCTCCTAAAAAAGAAAATTGAAACAATTATTAATTAAAAATAATAAAGAAATTTAAAAAAGGGCACAAACATCAGAATTCCTCATTTCCTTCAACGATTTCAACTATATTTTCTTATATTCTAGATAAATCCTGATACAAAATCTACCTGAGGCATAGTTTTGACAAATTACAACTGCTTTGCGTTTGAAGGTCAGAGACAATATAATTTGGAGGGCCTGCATTGCTATCTTCCATGCACTGTACAAGTTATCTTTAGAAGTCACTGCTTATATTGATGTAATGATGACGAATGACCCAGGTGTTGAGCAATTGGTGTAGCAAACTTAATTTAGTTTGCAAACGATTTTTTGCCAACTGCTTGATCCATCACTCATCACTTATCAGTGAGCCAATGAAATACTCAAAAAGTTGCTAATTAATCACCATTAGTTTTTTGGTAATGGCACTTTAACCGGACAGTGGAGCTAGGCCAATCAAAACTGATAAACCAACGAACTAACATCATGGGGAGAAAAATAGCATTGATCTCCGAACTTAACTTTTTACATTTCTTAGCTTCGGTCTCTATAACACACTAGGGGGTATGCCCCTGACCGCTACGAGGCCTAACCCTCAAGGGACATTTGGCGCCCTCTAAGACCTACTTTGATGGTCCCTTTTAATTAATCTAAATAAAGCTGACTCATCTACAGATTATCACCTGCCAATAGCCGCAAAAAGCATGAAAATTGGCTTTATAGAACGGTAGAACGAACTGTGACAAAAAATACAAATTTGGTGGTCAGAAAGCTTATAATACTGATGTCTCTAGTCTCTTTTGAGGCTTATATAAGCAGCTTCAATGTATCATCAGAACGATTGAATTCAAAGATCAGAGAATAAAATTCAAAGACAGATATGAGAAGGTAGCATAGAACATTAGTTTCAAACTTTCGTAAAAACCAGTGCTTGGATTACTTTCTATCCCCTCCACCGATAAATGATCAAGAAAGATTAGACTAACATTTTTTTGAGGATTATGTATTACCATGATACTGCAAAGAATATACATACAAGAACAGTCAAATAAGGAATGAGAGATGATTATTGCTGCACTAATGACCTTTTTAAAAAAAAAAAAAAAAAAAAAAAAAAAAAAAATGCTCTCAACACTCGAGGAATCAACTCCTTCCAACTTCCCAAATTACTGAAAATAGTTTACCTCTGTAGATAAGTGGCTCTTTATTTCTAAAGAATGCTAAGGCTGGGTAATTTCTTATTCCATGTTTCTTAGCAATGATAACATCTTCTGTGGAAACAAAAATTATTCCACTTTCATCTAATTCATCATCAATATTTTCTAGTTCTTCAAGAACATTGTTGCACTCTTCACCTTTCTCACATCGTCCACCTGAAAAAAAAAAGGACAAATATTAAAGTCAATAACGTACGGTCATGAAAACCTCCAGTCAGTGATAAACACCATTTTGACTCAATTATTCACAATGAAGAGATTGTCATCCCCAGAAAATTATAAGATAACAGATTCAATGATGAAATAAACGTCTTGAAAGAAAAGGTTTGTGAGAAAGTCTGAAATATATTTAAATGGTCTTCATTTTCCTGTTTTTTTTTTCTTCTTTTTTTACAGTTAGGAAGTATGCACAAATAAAGAGAGGAAGCGAAAATAGAAAGATAGACAAGAAAATATGTATCTACAGAAAAGGGAATTTTAAGCTCCTTCTGCAGCTACAGTACTAATTTCATGATTATTGTCATTTATATCTTACTGCTATTCCTCTGTGAGCATCTAGCTCTCAGTGGACAAAAAAACTGATTCTATCATTAAAAAAAACTAATAAAAAAATTTGTTAAAAAAAATGGCTGATGAATTTTTGGGGCCAAAAAAAAAATTATACTAATCAAGATATTAGACGAATAAAAAAATGTATACAGATTACCAATTGACAAAAAATTATTTACTTGCTTTTTACAGGATAAAAGAGGAAAAATCAAAAAGAGAAAAATGATAAGAAGGATACGCAAGGGAAGAAAAAAGAGGAATTGGTATGAAGAAAATGCGGCATGAATGAAAAGGAGGATGTTGAACAACTAACTGGTTCCACTTCAATGCTGTGACAAACTTCAGCATTCTTTAAGTGGTACCAAATGACAACATTCACGGGAACTTTAATGAATGGCAAGGAGGTGGCCAATTATTTTATCGCCTGAATTAAAATTGTGTAAAATAAAACATTGAGCAAATAAAATCTGAGAGTGTGAGATAAGAAGCTGTGTGCAAGTGAAGCAATTTTTGCGATTAGAGAAAGTGCTTAAAACAAGCCTGTTAAAAATGTATGAATGCATTAAATGTTTATTCCTACCCTGTATACATACACAGTTTTAGACAACTCAGATTAATTTCATGCAATTATAGAGAATGTAATTCAACATTTCATGTTTAAATTATCTACTGTTACACCTGCATTCTACTACTTCTTCGTTTTGTGGCTTAGTTTGAAAAACGACTCGGCTTTTGAACCGAGAGGGGGTGGGGGGTTTAGTTGTTTAAATGTTTACCCATCAGTCTTTTTGATGAAACCCTCTTAATTTATCACGTGAGGCCTGTTGCTTGAAATTTCATGGGCATCATGAGAGACAAATAAATTTTGGTAACTTTAGAATAATTTGGAACAAAATTTTTTAACATGGTAAAAAGTACCATTAAGCTTCTGATAAAATAATCTCAAGATAAAAGAGATTAATACATTACAAAAGCTTCTAAAAGAAACTTTCACTTTCAAAACTTAATTATGATAAAAGTTGACTTTAAATTCCTCAAATCTGTTACGGACTTCTGCTACCACATTAATGGTGTAAATCGAATTAAAGCAATAAGGAATTTAACTAACTTGAATTAGAGCTAATTAGTCCAATCCCCAAGAGAAATAAAGAAATTATATTACTTGAAATTGGATGTGAAAAACATCGAAAAAATTGAAACATATATTTGAGAGATAGGGCTTGGTCATTATGCATGTACACATCTTTAGTTTTTGCAAAAACTTTATGGTAGAGACGGTATTTAATAAAAGGAACTATATTCCCTTTGCCAAATAAGTAACCCTTGACAATAGGATGCTATGTAGACTTCAAATAAATATTTTAAAACCGGCTTCAAAGTCAAAATGACAATCAAAATTATCGAACTTAATGAGATCATCATCTTTGGAGTTGTTCACTTTTAAAAGTTGAGTTTGCAAATTTTGGTGAAAAAACATTCCTACAATTGGTTAGTGTAAAAGCACATTAATCGTATATACAAAAACAACAAGTTAGATGTTGATTACTGAATACGTAGGTACAGAATATGGCAACAAATATGTTCATTCTGACAGTTGTTACTGAGTCATTCAAGACTCACTTTGAGCTTTTTTTAAGAATGATGGCCCACTTAATTCTTGCGCTGTAGATAGTGACCAAAGTCGATCCCGCCTTCCTACATAAACAACACAAATGCATCAACAGACTTGCCAAACTATACAGACAAAAATACCAAACTCCGATAAAACTGTTCATATAATTCAGAGTCTTCTGTATAACGCGACAATACAGAGACTAGTGCTAATTACCAAGCAGAAAAATTGTGTGCTGACAACTAGACATTTTTGTGGTTAAATGGCATGAAGAATGTAATTCTGTGGCACCACTAAAAGCACTTAGTAGCACATGTAAAAGCACATTTGTTAAGGCAGACAATTCTAAACTTATTTGTAGTTTTTGTAAAGGTAAATTGAAAAGAAAATTATGTTAATTTCTTTTAAAAAATAAAAAATTCCACTACAATTAGGTGTTTTAAAAAAACAAGCTCTTATAAATCCTACAACTTGGGTGATAAATTGAATATGAGTCATTAATTAGCAAATAGGTGGTTGTGAGCTCTGCATAGCTTATCTTAAGATTTTTGTTACATTCAGACTTAAGCACAATCATCTGTAGGAGAATTTATGAAAAAAAAAAGATAAGTGTTCAAAGCAGGTTAGCTAAATCCGCTCCGTAAAAAAGATCAAAGCAAACATTTAGTTGCTGAGTGATGTTGACTGACTAAAACTTAAATGATATCCACTCTAACTTGTAAAATAAATTGTTTCAAAGATACTCAAAAAATCCACAACTATAAGAGAGGTGATTCATGATGTTTTTTCCTGCCGGTAATGTGGTTATAGGTTTATTGAAAATACTGAATTGGTAATTTCTTTGGAGCAAAATACCTCCAAAAATAGTAAGCTCAAGAGTGTTCTACCTGAAATTCTGCGGTCTGGTTCTTGGGATAAGGAAATTTCTGAAGAGAAGGAAGACAGGAAAAAAATTGCCGAGAGTAAAGTTCTAAAATAACCAAAAATTGAATGAAGAAGCGAATGGTTCGATAAGCTACTTAATGTTGTGGGTCGTGGATTAAAATGGACTGATCAGCTAATGCTTGGAGGTGAATGACAGAAAATGAAAGGATACTTACTGAAGTACACAACAACATACTCATGTTCATCGATCAAGTCTTGCAGAATTTCATCCGTAACTTCCTCAATAGTTGCAGATTTTTTTTGCTCAATGAGCCACTGAAGAACTTCATCTTCATTCAACAGTTCACCTAGAGGAATAAGTTAGCAACATGAGAAAAAACAATGACAATGATAGTAATTCTAATTTTTTCAGGTATTTGTGAGATACCAGAATTTTAGGGAAAATATAATTTAAGGCAAATTCAAGTTTCAATGGATAATTTTGGGAGGAATATATAAAAGTTGAAAGGCTTTGCGTCAGTGTTGCTGAAAGGACCATTTCAGAGAGGACTTGGAGTTGAAGTTATTAAAACTTTGCTACCAAAAGCATGGCAAGAATACCTCCTGGGGAATCCTTACAGGAGCCTTTCTGAGGAGTGTATGCTGTGAGCATTTAACTAGTAATGAAACTTCTATGTCTCTGTCCGATACACCAGTTGTCATCCCTCCTTAGCGTTGCAAGGTTTTTACAGTGTTGTTGGGGAAAGGATTTTTGGAATCTATACTGCCATAAGCTTGACTCAATGCTACCATGTAAAGGCTTGCCAAAAGGTACATGTGCTGTGCTTGTTGAGACTTTGTCACAAAAAGGATAACTCAACCCATTACCATGTGAAGGTTGCAGAATTGTTTCCAGTGAGGTCATTTGGCATGCATTTCTTCATCGGAATGAAGGTAGCCTTTCTATTGCTTTAATGGGAAAAGGTAAATTTGTTCCGCACAAAAGTTTCGTTAACACTTTTAAAAAACGTTGCTGTGGATGCTTAGCAGCAAGGAATGTGACAACGCTTCCATAATGTTTGAGTCTATTTGGGAGAAAAAATTCAGTGACATGTACAAGTTAGGATTTAGATGCAAGATTCAAACTGAATTGTGAAAATTCCTTAAAGCTACTGTTTTAAAAAATGAGAACTTAAAAAAACTAAACTATACCTTCATAAATGCAAGGGATTTTGTCCTCAAAGTAGACAAGAGCGGGTAGATGATCAATTCCCAATTCCTTTGCTTCTGCTTGATTGTCAAGTCGCACAATTACAATATCCTCTTTATCAAGGTCATCGTCAATGTTTTCTAGCTCATTCAAAACCCGAATATCTTGTTTGTCGTCTTTATCATCTGTAAAATTGATTTCAATTCATGAGTGAAAACACTTCACCACATATGTCCATTCAAAAATCATTCGAATTTTGAATAACTTGTATTCATCTTATTTAAAATTTTAAAAAACTTAGACTATTGATCTATTTGTCTATCTACCTATTTGTAAATCCATCCAGGTATCTTTCAATCTACAGCTCTTTTAAAAAACTGTTAAACTAGAATCAGGCTGAACTTGGCATTTGTATACTCGGTGGAAAAGACCAAAAAGGTGAAAGAGATTAACAGCAAAACAACTTTTCGAAATAAGAATGTTTTTTGTACGGCAACACTACTCACATTTTATACAACGCGTGTCCAGAAAGGTTTGTCACCAAACCTCGTGTGAACTAACTAATTAAGCTAACAAAATCCGAGTTATAAGAGCTTAAAGAATATTTCATTGACTTTCTAACATGACCTTGTTTAGCTTATTTGCCTACACTGCCTACAATTTTACATTTTTCCTTACATTGCCTAGAAATAGCTTTGACTCAGTGGATTATTGACCAAATGAGCTCAATGAAGTTGTGTTTGAAAGCTAACCAAATGATCTTGAATCTCTTACAACCCACAATTTGCTGGTTTTATTTATTTGTTTGTACGATGGTTGGTGACACGGCTTTTGAGACATCCTTGGCATCGAAAGTATTCAATTACCTGTTGTAGCCTATGCTCTAGAAAGAAAATCTGAGTTTTTCTGCCATAAATTGAGTATAAACTTCATATATTAACAAGAAGAGGGAAAAAAAGTTCCACGAAATAATTAGTCAATGTTTCTATTTTCTGATGAGCCCTATAAGAAATAAGAATGCTAATCAAAGCCCATTGGAAAATGGCCATGATAACATTGGTTGACTAAATAGTAAAGTGGCTTACAGAATAAGACAGCAAGATAGGGAACTGTTTCAATCAGCTTCTCCATGATTTCATCTGTTACTTCTGGGATTTCACTATGCCTCTTCTGATGAATCAACCAACTGAGCAGCTCATCCTCTCGCAGAAGGTCACCTGAAAATAATGGGAGAAGAACATTGAAAACACTTGCTGGTTTCGACTTTGCATGATTGATAGTGCTTGAATGATAACATTAAAAGATCAAAAGCCATTTTTGGTTTTTTTTCTGAGCAGTCATTTGGGGTTGCTCTGTTTAAGTACAGAAGAACAAAAATAAATTTACGACAAAAATTGACACAAAATATATTTTAAAAAAAACTTGCAGAATTTTTTCAGGAATGGACATGGAAAACAAATGTTTGTCTTTTCCCAAAAGGCATAGTTTTTGATACGGGTATTTTGGCAGGCTACCATTTGATTAAAAATAATACGATTCAAAAACAGACTGCACTGAAACTGAGAAAAGTAAGAGTCACAAGTTTGGAAAATGTTACCCAAGTAGCACAAATTACAATAAGTTGCAATATAAGTTTAATGACGTATGATGCACTTAATGGTTGATACTCTAAGCCCCCTCTCACTCCTCCCATAAAATTAAAAAATTCCGATTATTCTATCTTTATTGAATGATTTACATTAAAAACGACCTACAGAAGCATAAAAACACAAAAACTTGTGACCTGCGGGCAATCCGGGGGGCGCAGGTGACCTTGAGACTCGGAACATACAAGGTTACCCCGCGCCACATCATCTTTGAAGACTCAAAGCTCCGCTTCTAATCATTTCCCCAAGATGAACTTGGGCTTGTTTTAAACCTTAAGCCCTTTACTTTCATTTGGGATTGTTTTTGTTTTGCTCCGTGCGAACCAAACAATCGAAAATATCGAAAAACGAAAAATTACGAAAGGGGGACCTTGTATAATTCCCCCAAAAGTGAGTCAAAATTTAAAATTTTATTGATTTCATACCTATATTCTGAAAGCTCTTATTTTTCTGGATATTTTGACACCAAAATCATCTTTCTATGACAAATCGTTGAGAAGTTATGCTACTTTAAAGTTTTTGATTTTGACCCCCCCATCCCCCCCTTTTCCCTGGGGGTTAGGCAAAAAATATGACCAGTTTTGAATGTCCGGGAAGACCCTCTTTCATCCCTGAGAAAATCGTAGGATTCCATGTTTCGGCCGATTTGGCCGTTTTGTTGTAGGGTCCATTGCTGGTATAAAATTGTACACATTGATTCTTTGAGGCAACTGAGCATTTTGATCGAGACAGTTTTCGTCTTTGCCTAAGGATTAGCGGAAATTTGGTTTTTACTTTGTAAATCTTCACGATCGCTTTAATTCGAGTCTTTTAAATGTTTGATACATTATTAGTTCCAAAAACAGATTATGAGACAGCGTTAATGCTCAGGTTGATCAAATAATTTACAGAATTAATAGAACATAAAGAATACCTTCATATATATGAGGAATCCTCCTTTCGAAGTATACTAGACAAGGCATTGTTTCAATACCATACTCCAATGCCTCTTTCTTGTTGTCGATTTTGACGAATGCAATATTATTATTATCACACTCATCATCGATATTTTCGAGTTCAGTCAAAACTTTTTGACTTTTCTTCTGGTCTTTGTCATCTGTAAAACATGAAATATTGCAAAATATGTTAGAGATTAAAAATACAATGAAAATACACCTGAAAATATTTTTAAAAGTACATATATACATAATAGAAACGATGAGGAATGATGACATTTGTTATTCAGAAAAAAATCGTTTCAAAATTTTTGATGATAAGTTTTGCTGATTAAAATTTTAAAAAAGTTATTTTCTCCAGATGTTTTTACATACACTGAAAGCACAATTAAAGCATGTTTAGGATTAGCTGTTACTGTATTAAGCTGCATTAGTGCGTACAGTTTCTTTCATATTTTCTCTGCATCCTTCTCTAATTTTAAGGATGGAGCAAATGAAAGAGAAAAACCAGACAATTGAAATCATTCAGAAATTCTAGGACCATCAATGGTATTAAATATGAAAATAGCATAATTACAAAACAAAACTGCCACATGCGGCATTTTTGAGATCAACATATCAAGCATTTCATCCGTGACATCTTCGATATGATCATCGTTCTGTTGATGATCGAGCCATTCCAACACCTTTTGTTCATCCTCCAAATTTCCTGTGGAAAGAAACCAAAGCAGATAATGAAGGGACTTTTGACAATTCATTAAGTTTCATAATTCGTAGAATAGCAAAGAAAGTATGAATATGTTTCTTCTACCTACAGGAATCTTCCTCTTAAGTGGATTTTCTGAATTGTTTAAACTGCTGCCATCTTTTCCTAGGAATCTAATAAATTGAACCTTAGCACATTTAAAAGACAGAAGAAAGCTTTTAAAACACTACAGAAATAGTCCACGAATAAGTTGAGCTACAGGCTTTCATACAAGAGATGAAGCTAGAAATTAGGTGTTGCAGTGTTAGACAAGTAATTAGTTTGCCCTGATCTCGCTCGTTCCTATTCACTATTCAGGCGACTTCGCTGCGCCTGCCAGCAAACGCGCCAGACTTTGAGTCGTGTGCGTTTGAACCGCAGTCGTACCAGGAGCGCATAATGTAACCAGTCAGACTTACAATCTTTCATCTCTCTGCCGATTTTGCGAATTTTTCATTCAGGACAGAGCCATTTTCCTTCTTATACCTTCTTGCTTCAATTTTTAATACGATCTCATTTTTGATTTCAGGGTTGCCGTTCCCTCTAATTACATTTGATGTTAAGATAAATTATTACTGAAAATACCTACATGTGTTACATACTATTCGATGATAATAAAATAATATGTTTAGAAGCGGGACATGAGGCATTAAAGGTCTTGTTTAAGAAAGAATGGCAGGTGCCTACTGTCAACTTAATTATAAGTTTAACAAAATTTAAATTAATGTTTGAGAATAATTAAAGGAACTGCAAATACTTTTGCAAAAGATGTAATGAAGTGTATCTACACCAGAGGTGAACTATCATTGAGATATCAAAGAAAGTACTGTAAAATAAATGTTTCAATTCAAAATTTTAGCAATAGACAGATTTATTGCGCTTGAAGGCACATTTCACCCATCTGTGGATCTTCATTCTTGAACTGTTCCTTCATTTGGAGTAAAAGTTGATTCTATTTTGTTTGATACTTTGATGTTTGCTTACCCCTCCTATAGATTCACCTTAAATGTGCGGAACATCTGCATAGATTGAGGGGATAAGGCAATTTGAGATTTGAATCTGTCATCACTTAAGAAAAATCGAACATCCACTGTAAACAACTATTTAAAAAAGGGAGGCGCATACCATCATAGGTAGTTGGAATGCCTTTTTCAAAGTACATGAGAGCTGGAATTTTCTCAATTCCATACTCTTTGGCTTCATCTGGGTTGTCCATTTTCACAAAGACCACACCAATTGCATCACATTCATCATCAATATTTTCGAGTTCGTTCAATACTCGCTGAGATTTGCGGTCGTTATTATCATCTGAAAAGAGGAACCTTTAATTTAGAATGTGAACAGCAAAATTTTAAAGATTGTGAAAATTAAAGATATTCACCAAGATGGCAAGATCAGAACTGTTTCGTGACTTTTTGTGAAAAAATATAACGTGATCCCTCGAAATTTACTGTAATTTCTCCTAGATTATGAAGATCATACTCACAAAATTTTCAGGAAAATGCTTTTTAGTTTCTTCTCGTACGTTTTTTGAGCTGCTAACTTCAAACCGCATTAACTCTGGTTTGATTATACAAATTTCGGTGTTCATTATTATCTCAGAATGACCGTAAAACACTTCTCTATACTCTGGCATCAATGACTCGACTTTGAGTTTTCGTGGATTAAGGTCCTTTTCCTCTTAGACAGTTACACATAAAGGTTTTATTTACGAAGGTAGGTATACAGAAATGTTTCTCCGGAGCTGTGGGAAAAATCGAAAATTGACTAACTTAAAAATTTCCCAGCTAAAAAAGATAGTGGATACAGAAAAGCAGACGTTGATTATTGCGTCTCTTTTATACCACAAATAATAAAAACTGACCTCAACATGTCTTCATTCATAACATACATATGAATTTAAGTAATCGGATAGATATTTCTGTAACCAGTTAAGGTCCAATCCTTACTGATCCAGAAAAACTCTCTCAGATAACTCTGCTCTTAGATAATAAGTATTACACATATTAAATTCCTTGGAGGGAAATAAATAACTCACAGAATAAAACAGCCAATGTTTTCCCTTCTTTGATGAGTTTATCCAGCATTTCATCTGTAACATCCTCGATTTCATCCTTTTCCAGCTGGCTGACCAACCATTCCAAGATTTCGTTCTCATTATCAATGTCCCCTAAACAATGAACACATGGGAAACTGTTTGAATAAAAAGTTGACTCAATAGACAAACAAAACAAATGTGACAAATTCATGAAATAGGTACCTTCAACTCAACTGGCAAAACTTTTGGAATGAGTAAAAACGTACAGTGGAACAGGATGATAACTTTCCAATTTTTGATTTGTAAGAGTCTTTAAAACAGAAAGAATGGATACTAAAAGCATCAGCTCAGAATTTCAAGACTAAAAAACATGATGAATAATCTTTCTGACAAATGCAAAAAACAATACCCAAAGTAACACCCACTTCACCAATTTTTCATGTGATGACCAATCTTCACCTTCAAACTTTAATAATCATTAAAAACTTTAACTGTCATCAATATTTTTCATTTTCAGGTGTTCTCTTTTTTTACTGTGAATGACATAGAATTAAAGAAGAAGACTGAAGAACATACTGAAGCCATACTAAAGAAATAGCAGGAAACTTGGCTGATTGCCCTGGGAATGACTTTTTTTCTATTCACTCCAAACGTCTTTCCAGAGTCCATCAAGAAGTATAACAAATAATCACCATAGTGCAGGCCATCCAAAAGCATTGTCAAACTTATCCTGCTTGGGGACCTCACAAACAAAGGCTGCGCAGGGACCCGCACTTTCAAATTAGGACTACTAAAAATGGTTTGTAAACGATAGCATACAGGAGATCCAACAGTGAACATCATACAAAATCACATTCAAAACTTTCACACAGTTTTGTGTGGGATTTGATACACACATTTGTTACATTTGGAGTGTCCTTAGATATACGCACACACAGTACGTCACAGTATATTGAGGCTTGTAATTGAGTTTTGAGACATACCATCAAATACATTTGGAATCTGCTTTTCAAAATAGACTATCGCAGGTAATGAGTCAATACCATATTCACTGGCAACTTTATCATCATCAATTTTGACGAACTGAATCCCATGTTTGTCACAATCATCATCAATATTTTCCAGCTCTGCCAAGACCTGCATTGAATCTTCATCATCGTTGTCATCTAGAAAATAAACAAATGTTTCAATAGAAAATTGCTCGGTCTACGCACATGACAATTTTGTAATAAACTCTGTATTGATTATGGATTGTCATGGATGCCAAACAGACCATCGTGCATGACATTATGACAAAACAACTCATTTGGTATGGTCATGTCCAGAGAATGGCAGGAGACAGGTTGCCGAAGAAGGTCCTTGACTGGGTTCCTCCTGGGAGAAGACGCAGAGGGCGCCCAATGAAAGGTTGGAGGGAAGGGATTGAAGCGGAAATGTTAAGGTGCTCAATCCCCCAAGATTTGTGGTTTGAAAGAGAGCAGTGGAGGTTAGGAGTCGTAGAGCGCGAGGGAGTGCTGTAAAACGACTTATATGTATGTACTCTGTATTGAATATTAAAGTTTTAAGAAACAAACACTGAAGAGAGAAGAATGTTGATTGTAAAAAATTATTTTTATAGAAATTAATTGATTACAAAGAGAAAATTATTAAAATTGGAGCAATCTAAAAATACTTGCCTATAAGAGAAAAGAAATACTTACAGAAAAACACGACTAGATTATCAATTGAGCCGATGAGTGTGTTCAAAGTTTTTGCTGTTACATCTTCAATGACATCGTCTTCATCTCCTGTGGATTTATTTTGAACTAACCACTCAAGCACATCTTCTTCTCGAGTTAATTCATCTGAAATCACACATCACTTATGTTACAGGTGAGGAAACTAACAACAACATGAAAACATTGTACAGAAGAAGAAAATCATGGAATAAATATTGGGAGAGACATTAAATTCTTATTTGAATTTTCAACTTGAAATATGTTTATATGCTTTCAAAAAATGTTCAGGATGACAATTCTGCTGGTAATTAGCTGCGTAGGTGACACACTTGACTATTATCATAGGTACTGGTCTAATTGACCCTCTTGCAGTCGCCTTTTCACCTTTAAAACAATTAAATTTGATATTTTCAGCCATTCACTAAAGAATGAATTTATCATCAAAGTAAACTTGAGGGGATGGCTCCAATATTCACTTGAACATATTCTACGGTAAGCTTCATAATTTGCAGGTATCTAAAATTTGATTGATTTCATGTTTGAGTGCGGGTACTATGAGTGAACTGAGATTTAGGATACCTTCGGTTTCTGAATTGAACAATTATTGAAGGAGACATAACAAAGTAACCTTATCAACGCCCTGATCATTGAAACTATGTCAGCACGACACGAAAATACAAGGCACTATCTTAGACATGAAACATAATTCGAATCAGATGTCTTATCAGGCTGCTTTAATCTTTCAATAATTAACCTGCTCCTAAAATACATGCATTTAAATGAGGAGGGCTACCTAATGACATCACAAGGCGGTACTTTCTCTCACTTTTACATACATTTTTCTACACATTTCCATAAGACAAAAAATAGTTGTAAAAAATACTGCAATCTCAGCTTGTGAAGCACATTTAGATGAACTAATACAATTTTTTGTGCCAACTCTCCATTATTTGAACTTTATGGTTCACTAGGAAGAAAAAAAATATACTATTGGTTCATGAACCAATTGCACTTGTAAAAAATGTCTTACGGTCATAAATGATGGGAATTTGATGCCTGTAGTACACAAGTTTTGGTAGTTCTCCTAAGTTGTATTCTTCTGCAAGAGCTTCATCGGCTATTTTAACAAATCCAATTCCTAGTTGATCAGCTTCATCATCAATATTTTCCAGTTCTTGTAATGCCTTTGCACATTTCTTGCAGTTTGGTTTGTCTAAACAAAAAAAAATCACTGTCAAGCTTGATGAACAGGTAAAAAAAGGCAAAGATGTAAATTTAGAAAATTTATATTTGTTTCAAAAAACTGTTGAGGGGAATAAGAGAACCAGAAAAATATTTAAATTATGAGACATTGAAGCTGAATAACTGTTCTTCTATTTATTAGAATCAATGTCACAGTTCTGATGAAAACCTTGAGTTTCAGATTCAGGACTCTCCTTCACTTCCCTATGGGTGCTGAAAGGGAGACTGCTTTGAGTTAATGGAATTTTATCCTTTATGGTTGATTCACACACTACCCAATTTTCCACTGAATTTAATATCTGAAGTTTCTAAACATGCATGATGTTGATGCTGTGTTGACGCTTCACGTTCACTTTAGATGATTACTTTCACATAATTATTCTTCTGATTAAATAATGAAAATTTAACAAATTGTTGAGCAAATAAACTGACTTCCTAATTGTAACGTATTTGACTTCATCCTTTTTATTTAAAGGAGCTTCATTGAGTGTGGAGCATACTTAAGAAGTATTGAGAGGAATTCAGAGATGAAAAATAGAAGCAAAAAAAGAAGATAGATAGATGTGCAGACGTAAGTTAAACATAGTGACAATACAATAGAGACCAAGACATAGATTCATGGAACACATAAGTATTCTTAGGAAGAGAGTACAAATTATTTTAAACGAGATCGAAGAGTGTTGGAAATTGTTGAAAAATTAAGAAGTACATGAAAGAATTTAAAAACAGAAGTAACATAGAGCAAGAGTGCTGGGACTGAATACGGGCAATGCCAAAGCAAACAAATAATTTTGAAATAAATTAGAGTGAAGTATCAACATCACATGGCTAAAAAAAGACAGGGAAAGCGAGTCATCAAATAGAAGGACAAAGATTGGATGTAGAGAGAAAATACTTCATTTTACTTCACTGGCTGACTTTTGTTTTTTTATGAGAAGGCGAAGATGTTTAGGAATCACTGGAAGAGGAGCAGAAGAAAATGGATTTAAAAATCTTAAATGAGTAGCTATTCTTTTTAGAAGAAGAACAATTGCAGATAGGTAAGCAAAATAGACTGTGATCAAAGAATAAGTTAAGATTCACTGATTGCTTTAAAGTGTGATGTAATCATTGCTCCGGGAGCTTTTCAGCTTCAGCTCCTAAACGCAACTTAATTTGCCAAATTATTTTCTCTAGAGAAACTATTTCATACATTTTTCAAGGAATAATATAGCCATTTATCATAAATATTTATAATAGTAAAAAATAAGGGGAAAATTTAATTTTTAAAATCCATGCCTATTTACATGTATTTGGAAGAGAAATTGTTTAAGAATTCAACTGAAGTGTTTTTCTGGATTCTTGGAAATGTATATTTCAGATACAAATTAAAGAAAAATAAAGGAAGATACTCCATATTCAGGAAAAAGCTTTCTTTTTGGAAGGAGGCAGGGGACAAACAAAATGACGAGACAGAGTGAGTGATAGATTCAGACAAAGACAGAGCTTGAAGGGCAACAGAGTAGCCAAGAAAAGAACAGTACACTGTTGACAGGTTTTTGGAATACTTACTGGAGTTGCTTGGAGAGCATGTTTCCTGGTTCGGACCTATTTAAAAGTCAATATACTAATTAAGTATATACAAACAAACAAATGAAAAACACTGCATTAGTCCAGAGTAAGATGTTTCGTTTAGTTTAACCAGATAACTTTGAAAGTCTGGATTACTGTTGTTTTTGTTCCAATGAAGAATACAAAATATGAATTGAAATTCTTAACATTGCTGTTCTTCATAAGTTCAGAAAAAAAAGAAAAAGAAAACAAGTTTTTACACTTGAGAGGAAACAATAGCCTTACTTCGATGACATTGCTTCAAGGCTTTCATTTCTTGGCCCAAAATTAAATCAGAAACATTTTAAAAAAAAAAACATTTAAAAAAGAAAACAGAGAAATAGAATCAAGCAATTTAATTTTTCAGATTATTTCTTAAACGGGACTCGGGACTACAAACGTAGTAATGAGCAAAATCAGGAATGAGCTTTCTCAAACTTTTCATGAACATTAAAGGGAAAGGATTCGACTATTCCTCCTCTGCTGTCAGAATAAACGAAATATCTTACTGTCCCATTCACAGCTAAAAATTTTACATGATTAGAAAAAAGCTGAACTCTAGATAATCTAAAAAGCTGAAAGATCATCTTGGTTCAAGTCATTTTTAATCGTCCCAGAAACTTAAACCAAGGTATAAATAAATTTATGCTACTTGAATTGAATAAAAACAATTAAAATGAAAAAAAAGCACCATGAAACTGGCAATAAAATTTGAAAATGAGTAAAAGAGCAATAGAAACTTAAAATAAGTGGATACACATATGAGAACATGTAGACCGCATATTACATGTCAGAAAAAAAGTCCGGAACTTCGTGGACGTCATTATCAATAAACTTTGTATTCAATCGTTTCGTAGAATCACTGTTAAGTAAACCTGAATGATTTCAATTTTTATTTTCTTTAGAGAGTTTGTTAGTGACACACTCAAAGCTATGTTAACTAAATGAAAGACATGATTAAATCATAAAAACTGATAGGTTTGTTCAAAAGTCTACTGATTGAAAACTTTATATTGCAGTGAAAATATTCATTTAACTACCAACTGCCCATTTACAATAAGTCGCTCATTGACTCTTAGTATTCCTTCATTCAGCCTACCCTTAGCGATTAATAAATATCAGAGTTTTAGTTGTTTAAAAAAAAAATAAAACCCTCAGAAGCAGCAGTTAGAGCAGCATATTGAAATATGATAATAACACGTTCCAAAAAGTTGAGATGTAAAAGTTGAGAGTGATGAAAAATAAAAACAAACAAGCCTACGCAAAAAAAAAAAAAAAAAAAAAAAAAAATTTTGAATAAATTGAACAATTTCGAAAAATTACTGAAAGACAGTACACGAAGAGAAAATGATAAAAATAAGTTATTGAAGCACAATAATTAAAAAACATCTGGTGAACTATAATACTTTAAGTACTAAAGTATCAGGAAAAATGACATAGATGTGCCTTCAAATGCACACTGGTGCATAATCATATTGACATGATAAGCAGTGACAGTTATTCGGCCAGTAAGCTATTCACACTACTTACAGAAAAGAACTGCTACAAATTCGGTATCTTCGATAATTTTTCCTAAAATTCTTGCGTTGACTTCTTCTATCCTGTCGGGCAAATCCATTGCTTCAAGACTTGTGAGGAAGTCGAGGACATTTTCCTCATCCATAAGATCTCCTATTGAAATAATAACGTCAAGTTTTAGAAACAGTGTCAAAAATTGACAACAGCAAAAGCTCCTAATGTTCACACGGTAGATGAATTCATGCTTATTTTAAAAATTTAGTTTCTACGTATTCATGTGGACCGATTGAAACTACCACCGACCTTAACAGGGGTGCAGAAATTGCTCAATCAGCCGATCGCGAAGAAAACAAGAGGATAATTGAAAAAGGAAATTTGAAGGCAGAAAGCAGAAGGCATTTCCGGGAAAGAAACCATTAAATCCGTCATTTTTTAAGAAAGAAACTACCAAACGTAATACTTTCAGCGAGGGGAGTTGATCAACGCGCTCTTTCAAGTGCGAGAAATATGATAAGGCGCGCTGTCTTATGTGGACAGCAATGTGACGACTGCCTGAGCAGCATTTCCACAATTAAATTGTCGTGAAAAATGGTGACCTCACTTACGCGCTGACTTATTCCTTTCGGAATCCGCGTCGATTATTCGTGAACTACAAAAAAAAACTGGTGAACTTGTAAAAAATCTCAAAAAGCTACAAGATAAATGTCAATATATATACATTAAAAAAAAGAAGACAATAACTGCCCCACTGAATAAAAAGGGTATTCTACCTGATTAGCACCAATCCATATAAGTAATATTATTCACTGAGTAATTCACTCAGACGCTGACTTATTCTTTTGCCGATCCATGTCGTTCATTCATGAGAAAGGAAATTTTTCCGCCCATGGGCAGTTGGGCACTACTCAGGGCGACTCTCACAGAAATCTGGGTGACTCAAGGAAATGTTCTATATTGATACCAACTGAATCTGAGTGATAATGCAATAAAGTAAGAATCCTAATATGCCACTCTTCATAAAAAGAAACATGAAAATCCAACCTTCGTAGATGATGGGTTTTTTATCCCTGAAATAGGTGAGAGCAGGGAAGTTTTTGATTCCATAGTGTTTGGCCAGCCGCTTATCGTTGATTTTGACGAAATCCACGCCGAATGTGTCCGTGTCATCATCAATCTGTTCCAATTCTGCTAGCACTTTGTCGCACGTCAGGCAACTTCTCGCATCTGAAATTCAAACAAAGTTCACTCTTGGTAAAAATCCTAGGACTTTAGAAGAAATGTAAATGACACAGTCAAAAAAAAAAGAAAGAAAAAAGGGCATTATGAATCACCCAGTTTTTTAGATAGATTTACAGACAACAAGCACGCGTCATGGAATGGGAGTGCGACAAATTTGCCACATTAATATTCAATTTTTTCGGAGGAAAACTTGTGATTGTTCTTAAAAGTTTAATCCCAAGTTGATCATAAATCGAACATTTAAGTGAAAGTGTAGAAAGTCTCAAAAAAAAAAGTACTTGGATGATGAACAAAAACACTACAGAACCCTGGTAAAAATTGGCAGTAGAATCTGTGTTCCAAAATACCATAGACTTACAGCCGGCTGTAAGATTTCCAATAGCTTCTATAGCCGGCTACACAATTTCTTATCGCCTTTTACAGCCGATGGTGATTAAGCGACAGCCAGGCGATAAAGTGTATGCTAAACGTTACTAATTACGGATGCTGGGACTTAGTGAGTTTTTGGACTACTGCTCTCTTTTTGGGCCGTAAAAATCTTGATTTATTTTGCGAGGAAAGCTCCGTACTTTTGATAGATGCCTGCCATTCCTAATATATTAGAGCGCCTTCAGTTTCGAATGATACTGTGCAATACCTCTGGTGTGAAATAGTTGCTTCGAGCGCCGCGCCGTGGCACGCTGCGGCGCGACAGGCGGGAAGCCATAGCACGAAACGCGCATTGGCGCCTACAAACCTAACAGGGATACTTCACGCGTTGCGCAATGCGTGAAGTATCCCTGTTAGGTTTGTAGGCGCCAGTGCGTCGCCGCTCCGCTTTGAGTTAGGCTCTAATATTTAATCTGGCGGAGTCAGCGTTATTCAACTCATGATTTTAAAATGTTTGCATATCCTGTATGGATTATTCTCATTTTAATTGATGAAAAAAAATATGCATTGAAGGAAAATATAATGTGTGTTTTGTAAATATTAAGGTGGTTCCGTATCAAACTTAATGATTTCCAAAGCACACGAATTTCTACACAGTTTCTTATAGCCTTTGATAATCGATGGCGAAAAAGCAACAGCCAGGCGATAAAGTGTAAAGTCCGGCGATAGGAACATAGCCCGGCTGCATAATTTTTTATCGCTTCGTACAGCCCGGCCGTATGATTTTCTCCGCATTCTACAGCCAGCTATATGATTTTCTGTAGCCTTCTTTAGCCGGCTATAAGAATTCCCATGGTATTTTGAAACGCAGCTCTTATCGCCAATTTTTATCAGGGAAAGCAAAACCATGATAAATCTTTTATCTTTTGAAACATTGTCCGTGTTGTAATAATTTGGAATTTTAATTTCCCTCTTCACTCTTTCCCCCTCTCTTACGAAAAAATAAACTGTCGTTTTTGATCCCAAAATATCTCTTCTTACATCAAGTGAGAATCAGCGTGCATTTAAACAGAAATGATTCACGTGAAAGAGGTTCATTGAATTGGAGATTGACGGAAACTCTTCCCTATCGCGTTGAGAGCACTGGGAACTGATCCACAGAAACCGAGCACCAGACAGTAGAGGAGCGTATTACAAAGCGTTAACTTTTGTATCTGTGCGTTCAAGTTACTCACCCATAGTAAGGCGGTCTTTGGAGACTTGGGTGAATAACATCTCCCCCCCCCCCCCCCCNAGACAAACCCTAGATAATTTACAAAGTAATTGAACCATATTGATAATTCGTACTTTTTTCTTAATAAGTAGAGCGTAAAAACGAGACACCATGGAAAACAGTAGTGTTGATGGTACAAACAATAACCGCATTCTTTTTTTAAAACCGTCAATAATTGTGATGACAAAGAGGAGAAGGCTTGAATGCTCTGATTGTACATGTAAATGGCAGGTTCGGCTGTGTGAGTTTTGGAGAGAGAAAACGAAAATCGACGGATTTTCATGGATGACAGAAGATATCTTTATTTGGATCTTTAATTAAAGATAATCTCGTGGACATCCATGAGTTTCTAACTTTTGCCAGGGTACCTCATCAAACATGAACATCGTGTGTAAAAATAACCAGACAACAACGATTATCAAATCGACAAATGAGTAAAGGATTTGGCGCCTATGAATGAACTGAAGCAAAGGCAAGAACCGAAATGAGAATGGACGTGCCGTAGACACCCTACGTTTGGCGCACACACACACACACACCCTCATACACACCCTCACACACACACACCCTCTCACACACCCTCACACACACACACACACACACACACACCCTCACACACACACACACATGGCGTTGGTGGCGTACACATTCGACTGATGGCAGACGAGCGCCCCTTGCCGATCTATCGTCAAAACGCTTCTACACACACATACTGACGCCTTGAAAATTCGAGAGTTTGGCAAGGGCGCCGTCTAGAATGTCCATCGATGCCAAGTTTATTTGAGAGACGCCTTTACTGCCGTGCTAAGGAAGAACGTCGTATGAACCCTCAGGCGTTGCCAAATTTCCTTCGATAAAACACGAATTTCCTGGGAAATACATGAATATTTTTCTTCCAATTTCTCAGATAATTTTGTTCGCAATTTCACCTAAAGTTCCTGAAAATTTCAAGGAGAAATATTCATAACTTTCTTCAAAAATAACTATTTTCTGAGAGGAAATTTGGCAACTCTCGAATGTTCATACGGCGTTTTTCCTCAGTACGGCGGTTTAGGAGTAAGGAATGAAAGCGAACTACGAGCGTCTCGCTTCTTTTAAGAGACTCAAGCGCGCATCTCGCGCATGCGCAAATACTCACCGTCGTGCGAACTGAGAGCGAAGTGCGGAGTGAAAATGACTTCGTTTTTAGCGACTCAAGAGGCCTGGGACCCCAGACGCACGCCCAAAGGCCATTGAACGCGCGGCGCGCGGCGCGCGACTACCCAGCTTTTCACACGTTCACCAGGGATGCCGAGCCGACGCGGCGACGGGCCGACACATAATTGCCGAAAAGTGAACGCTTCAAGTTCGCTTTGGCTGAACACTCTTTTAGGTGGGTCTGTTCACAAAGTAAAATTAAATTAATTTTCTTCAGCTTAAGGCTTAAATACACACGGCGATTAATCGCCGCGAGTGAAAGACGAAAGCCAATGGAGAGCCTAGATTTCGATATATCGACGTCAATGGATCGAAATCAAGGCTCTCCATTGGCTTCCGTCTTTCAATCGCGGGGATTAATCGCCGTGTGTATCTAGGCCTTAAGACTAAGGCACCATTCCGGGGCGCAAAATCTTCACAATTCCTCGATCTTAAGATTGAAGACTCGCTGTGTGCTTCACTAGGAAATGGTGTTCACCGCGGTAGGTCCGGCACCAAGGAATTCCGAACGCTCAACGATTAAAGCGCGCACCGGCACCGTGGGGAAACGCGCAATGCGTGAGGTGTTCGTGCAGTCTCGTAGGCGCTGATAAGCGGTCCGTCAAAAACGCGCGATGCGCGAAGTATTCCTGCAGTCTTGTAGGCGCTAGTACGCGTTCGGCGCCGACCGCACTGTGTTTGGCGCGATTATTTTAAGTCAACGCTTTTCAACTTGGTACTGTACTACCATTAAGTTTTTTCACACTCTGTATGGATTACTGTCATTTATACCAAAAATGACCTGAGATCTGACTACTTTTCTTCTGCTTATTTACACGCTGTGAACATCAGCTCCTTTGGGTGCTCCTACATTTCGAATTTTTGACTCTCAGTTTAATCACCCCATTTTACGCAATAAGTCACGTAGTATTGTCACATGATTAGAGAAAGGGAAGGGGGAGGGGGATATTCCTTTTCCAAACCCGACCCGGCAAATTCTTGAATAGAGCCGATAAATTTTCTTGAGGTATTATTTTGACCTAAAGCGTTATTTTTTTTTTTTTTTTTTTTTTTTTTTGTTAAATCCGTGCGGATTCAACTCAACGTTAGCATTTTCAACTAAAAAAGAGCGTCATTTTTCTATCGTTTAGTTTAAGTTTTAAAAAACGATGGCAAAACAACGTTTCTATAACTATAAAAAAACTGACTTCAAGTAAAACCCACACGGCTTTAACAGAAAAAAAAAAACCAGCAAAAAAACCAAACAAATTTCGTCGACAGGAAACGACGCTGTAAGTCAAAATAATATATCCATCATTTTTCTTTTTTTTTCAGTGTATTTGATATTGACACAGGAGTCTATTTCTAAAACGACTATCGTTATGACCATACCTTTCAGAAGCGAGGGAATCGGTCCGTCCCTTAAACTTTCTACGTTAACTCCATATATTATCCTTCCATATGCATATACTCCCCCGATGAACAGTCGTTATGGAGAGACCTCTCTATAACGAGGAAATCAGCCGGTCCCTAAAGCTCTCGTTATAGAGAGAGATTACTTTATTCCTAAGTGCTGCAGATTCATCATGCACGCAATCATGGGCGGCCTTCTGCTCTTTGAACCCTCGCGAGAGCTGTTCTAGTCTTATCGCCGAGATGAAAGTGGGCAGCGTTTTGAGTTACACGCCGAGGTTCACTAATCAACTGAGCGACAGAAGTTCGCCTTCAATTGATCGTTCAGGCAAAAACGTGACCTACGCGTTAAAATAGTCGCATCCTCAAAGATGGACCTCAGCATGCATATGTTTATACTAAGCTCGCTTCTACCACCAGAATTAGGAAGATCACCGTAAGAACCTTGAGACGTTGCCAAATATCTGAAATATCTATCGATGAAATATGATTTTTCTAGAGAGCTAGGGAATATTTATATTAAAAATTTCACTTCCGATTCCACACATTATTCCTTGCGTACTTCTGCGCGTATCGTGTGTCAAATCGGCGCGTCTCATTGGCGGAGTTTTAAAACCTCCGTTTCCATTTTATTTTATGAACGGGGAACGAAATCAACACTATTGCTTGGGATTTTCACACAATACGCAAAGGAAAACAGAAATACGTTTTCAAAACTGACGTTGAGTATTTTTCCATTTGAAAAATAAAGTAT